CACTAACCAGGCCCGACCCTGAACAGGCTGTCTCCATCCCAGCACTAACCAGGCCCGACCCTGAACAGGCTGTCTCCATCCCAGCACTAACCAGGCCCGACCCTGAACAGGCTGTCTCCATCCCAGTACTAACCAGGCCCTGAACAGGCTGTCTCCATCCCAGCACTAACCAGGCCCTGAACAGGCTGTCTCCATCCCAGCACTAACCAGGCCCTGAACAGGCTGTCTCCATCCCAGCACTAACCAGGCCCGACCCTGAACAGGCTGTCTCCATCCCAGTACTAACCAGGCCCTGAACAGGCTGTCTCCATCCCAGTACTAACCAGGCCCTGAACAGGCTGTCTCCATCCCAGTACTAACCAGGCCCTGAACAGGCTGTCTCCATCCCAGTACTAACCAGGCCCGACCCTGAACAGGCTGTCTCCATCCCAGTACTAACCAGGCCCGACCCTGAACAGGCTGTCTCCCATCCCAGCACTAACCAGGCCCTGAACAGGCTGTCTCCATCCCAATACTAACCAGGCCCTGAACAGGCTGTCTCCATCCCAGTACTAACCAGGCCCGACCCTGAACAGGCTGTCTCCATCCCAGCACTAACCAGGCCCGACCCTGAACAGGCTGTCTCCATCCCAGTACTAACCAGGCCCTGAACAGGCTGTCTCCATCCCAGCACTAACCAGGCCCTGAACAGGCTGTCTCCCATCCCAGCACTAACCAGGCCCGACCCTGAACAGGCTGTCTCCCATCCCAGTACTAACCAGGCCCGACCCTGAACAGGCAGTCTCCATCCCAGCACTAACCAGGCCCTGAACAGGCTGTCTCCCATCCCAGCACTAACCAGGCCCTGAACAGGCTGTCTCCATCCCAGTACTAACCAGGCCCTGAACAGGCTGTCTCCATCCCAGTACTAACCAGGCCCTGAACAGGCTGTCTCCCATCCCAGTACTAACCAGGCCCGACCCTGAACAGGCTGTCTCCCATCCCAGCACTAACCAGGCCCTGAACAGGCTGTCTCCATCCCAGTACTAACCAGGCCCTGAACAGGCTGTCTCCCATCCCAGTACTAACCAGGCCCGACCCTGAACAGGCTGTCTCCCATCCCAGCACTAACCAGGCCCTGAACAGGCTGTCTCCCATCCCAGCACTAACCAGGCCCTGAACAGGCTGTCTCCATCCCAGTACTAACCAGGCCCTGAACAGGCTGTCTCCCATCCCAGTACTAACCAGGCCCTGAACAGGCTGTCTCCCATCCCAGTACTAACCAGGCCCGACCCTGAACAGGCTGTCTCCCATCCCAGTACTAACCAGGCCCGACCCTGAACAGGCTGTCTCCATCCCAGTACTAACCAGGCCCTGAACAGGCTGTCTCCATCCCAGTACTAACCAGGCCCGACCCTGAACAGGCTGTCTCCCATCCCAGTACTAACCAGGCCCTGAACAGGCTGTCTCCATCCCAGTACTAACCAGGCCCTGAACAGGCTGTCTCCATCCCAGTACTAACCAGGCCCGACCCTGAACAGGCTGTCTCCATCCCAGCACTAACCAGGCCCTGAACAGGCTGTCTCCATCCCAGTACTAACCAGGCCCTGAACAGGCTGTCTCCATCCCAGCACTAACCAGGCCCGACCCTGAACAGGCTGTCTCCATCCCAGCACTAACCAGGCCCTGAACAGACTGTCTCCATCCCAGTACTAACCAGGCCCTGAACAGGCTGTCTCCATCCCAGCACTAACCAGGCCCTGAACAGGCTGTCTCCATCCCAGCACTAACCAGGCCCGACCCTGAACAGGCTGTCTCCATCCCAGTACTAACCAGGCCCTGAACAGGCTGTCTCCATCCCAGTACTAACCAGGCCCTGAACAGGCTGTCTCCATCCCAGTACTAACCAGGCCCTGAACAGGCTGTCTCCATCCCAGTACTAACCAGGCCCGACCCTGAACAGGCTGTCTCCATCCCAGTACTAACCAGGCCCGACCCTGAACAGGCTGTCTCCCATCCCAGCACTAACCAGGCCCTGAACAGGCTGTCTCCATCCCAATACTAACCAGGCCCTGAACAGGCTGTCTCCATCCCAGTACTAACCAGGCCCGACCCTGAACAGGCTGTCTCCATCCCAGCACTAACCAGGCCCGACCCTGAACAGGCTGTCTCCATCCCAGTACTAACCAGGCCCTGAACAGGCTGTCTCCATCCCAGCACTAACCAGGCCCTGAACAGGCTGTCTCCCATCCCAGCACTAACCAGGCCCGACCCTGAACAGGCTGTCTCCCATCCCAGTACTAACCAGGCCCGACCCTGAACAGGCAGTCTCCATCCCAGCACTAACCAGGCCCTGAACAGGCTGTCTCCCATCCCAGCACTAACCAGGCCCTGAACAGGCTGTCTCCATCCCAGTACTAACCAGGCCCTGAACAGGCTGTCTCCATCCCAGTACTAACCAGGCCCTGAACAGGCTGTCTCCCATCCCAGTACTAACCAGGCCCGACCCTGAACAGGCTGTCTCCCATCCCAGCACTAACCAGGCCCTGAACAGGCTGTCTCCATCCCAGTACTAACCAGGCCTGAACAGGCTGTCTCCCATCCCAGTACTAACCAGGCCCGACCCTGAACAGGCTGTCTCCCATCCCAGCACTAACCAGGCCCTGAACAGGCTGTCTCCCATCCCAGCACTAACCAGGCCCTGAACAGGCTGTCTCCATCCCAGTACTAACCAGGCCTGAACAGGCTGTCTCCCATCCCAGTACTAACCAGGCCCTGAACAGGCTGTCTCCCATCCCAGTACTAACCAGGCCCGACCCTGAACAGGCTGTCTCCCCATCCCAGTACTAACCAGGCCCGACCCTGAACAGGCTGTCTCCATCCCAGTACTAACCAGGCCCTGAACAGGCTGTCTCCATCCCAGTACTAACCAGGCCGACCCTGAACAGGCTGTCTCCCATCCCAGTACTAACCAGGCCCTGAACAGGCTGTCTCCATCCCAGTACTAACCAGGCCCTGAACAGGCTGTCTCCATCCCAGTACTAACCAGGCCCGACCCTGAACAGGCTGTCTCCATCCCAGCACTAACCAGGCCCTGAACAGGCTGTCTCCATCCCAGTACTAACCAGGCCCTGAACAGGCTGTCTCCATCCCAGCACTAACCAGGCCCGACCCTGAACAGGCTGTCTCCATCCCAGCACTAACCAGGCCCTGAACAGGCTGTCTCCATCCCAGTACTAACCAGGCCCTGAACAGGCTGTCTCCATCCCAGTATAACCAGGCCTGAACAGGCTGTCTCCATCCCAGCACTAACCAGGCCCGACCCTGAACAGGCTGTCTCCATCCCAGTACTAACCAGGCCCTGAACAGGCTGTCTCCCATCCCAGCACTAACCAGGCCCTGAACAGGCTGTCTCCATCCCAGTACTAACCAGGCCCTGAACAGGCTGTCTCCATCCCAGTACTAACCAGGCCTGAACAGGCTGTCTCCATCCCAGTACTAACCAGGCCCTGAACAGGCTTTTCTCCATCCCAGCACTAACCAGGCCCTGAACAGGCTGTCTCCATCCGAGTACTAACCAGCCCTGACAACAGGCTGTCTCCATCCCAGTATAACCAGGCCCTGAACAGCTGTCTCCATCCCAGATAACCGGGCCCTGAACAGGCTGTCTCCATCCCAGCACAAACCCAGGCCCTGAACACGGCGTCTCCATCCAGTACTAACCAGGCCTGAACAGGCTTTTCCATCCCAGCACTAACCAGGCCTGAACAGGCTGTCTCCATCCCAGACAAACCAGGCCTGAACAGGCTGTCTCCACCCCAGTTAACAGGCCCTGAACAGGCTGTTTTCATCCCAGTACTAACCAGGCCTGAACGGCTGTCTCCATCCAGGACTAACCGCCCTGTAACAGGCTGCTCCATCCAGTCAACCGAGGCCCACCCTGAACAGGCTGTCTCCATCCCAGTACTAACCAGCCTGAACGGCTGTCTCCATCCCAGTATAACCAGGCCCTGAACAGGCTGTCTCCATCCCAGCACTAACCAGGCCCGACCATGAACAGGCTGTCTCCATCCCAGTACTAACCAGGCCCTGAACAGGCTGCTCCATCCCAGCACTACCAGGCGACCTGAACAGCGTCTCCTCCCACACTAACAGCCCGACCCTGAACACTGTCCCATCCAGCCTACCAGGCCGCGACCCTAAACAGGCTGTCTCATCCCGTACTACCCAGGCCCTGAAAGGCTGTCTCCATCCCAGTACTAACAGGCCCTGAACAGGCGGGTCTCACATCCCAGACTAACCAGGACCCGAACAGCTGTCTCCATCCCAGTACAACCAGGCCCACCTGAACAGGCTGTCCCATCCCAGTACAACACAGACCCGAAAGTGTCATCCATCCCAGTACTACCAGGGCCGCCCTGACAGGCTGTCTCCATCCCAGTACTACCAGGCCCGACCCGACAGGCTGTCTCCATCCAGTACTAACCAGGCCTGAACAGCTGTCTCCATCCCAGAGTACTAACCAGGCCCTGAACAGGCGTCTCCATCCCAGTAACTAACCAGGCCGACCCTGAACAGGCGTCTCCATCCCAGTACTAACCAGGCCCTGAACAGGCTGTCCCATCCAGTACTACCAGGCCCTGAACAGGCTGTCTCCATCCCAGTACTAACCAGGCCCGACCCTGAACAGGCTGTCTCCATCCAGTACTAAGCCAGGCCTGAACGGCATGTCTCCATCCCATACTAACCAGGCCACTAACAGGCTGTCTCCATCCCAGTACTACACAAGCCCGACCCTGACAGGCTGTCTCCATCCCAGTACTAACCAGGCCCGAACAGCTGTCTCCACCCAGTACTAACCAGCCCTGAACAGGCTGTCTATCCAGTACAAACCCAGCCGACCCTGAACAGGCTGTCTCCATCATCTAACCAGGCCCTGAACAGGCTGTCCATCAGTACTAACAGCACCCCTGAACAGTGTCTCCATCCCAGTATAACCGGGACCTGAAAGGCTGTCTCCATCCCAGTAATAACCAGCGCCTGAAAGGGTTCCATCCCGTACTAACGGCGACCGGGAAACAGGTGTCTCAATCCAGTTAACAGGCCCTGAACAGCTGTCTCCATCCCAGTACTAACCAGGCCCTGACAGGCTGTCCCATCCCAGTCTAACCAGCCTGAACGGCTGTCTCCTCCAGTACTAACCAGGCCCGACCCTGAACAGCTGTCTCCATCCAGTACTAACAGCCTGAACAGGCTGTCTCATCCCAGTTAAAACAGGCCCTGGAACAGGCTGTTCCATCCCAGGTACTAACCAGGCCGACCCTAACGGGCTGTGTTCCATCCCAGTACACCAGGCCTGACAGGCTGTCTCATCCCAGGTACAACCAGGCCCTGAACAGGCTGTCTCCATCCCATTACAACCAGGCCCGAGCCTGAACAGCTGTCTCCATCCAGTACTAACCAGCCCTGACAGCTGTCTCATCCCAGTATAACCAGGCCTGGAACAGGCTGTCTCCATCCCAGACTAACCAGCTGAAAACAGGCTGTCTCCCATCCCAGTACTAACAGGTGGACCCGACCCTGAACAGGCTGTCTCCATCCCAGCACTAACCGGCTGAACAGGCTGTCTCCATCCCACACACAGGCCCTGAACGGTGTCTCCATCCCAGAGTAACAGGCCTGAACAGTGTCCTCCCATCCCAGTACTAAACCAGGCCTGAACAGGCTGTCTCCCATCCCATGTACTAACCAGGCCAGCTGAACAGGCTGTCTCATCCCGTACTAACCAGGTCCGACCCTGGAAAGGCTTCTCATCCATTTACTAACCGGCCTGACAGGCTGTTCCTCCCAGTAACCAGCCCGTGAACAGTGTCTCCCATCCCAGTTTTTAACCAGGCCCTGACAGGCTGTCTCCATCCAGTACTAACAGAGCCACTGAAACGGGCTTCCCATCAGTAAACCAGGCACGACTGAACAGGCTGTTACCAGCACTAACATAAAAGGCTGTTATAGACAACCAGCCCTGACACTTCCCACCAGCACTAACCAGGCCCGACCCTGAACAGGCTGTCTCCATCCCAGCACTAACCAGGCCCTGAACAGGCTGTCTCCATCCCAGTACTAACCAGGCCCTGAACAGGCTGTCTCCATCCCAGTACTAACCAGGCCCTGAACAGGCTGTCTCCATCCCAGCCTAACCAGGCCCCCTGAACAGGCTGTCTCCATCCCAGTACTAACCAGGCCCACAGGCTCCATCCACCTCCGGCCCGAACAGGCTGTCTCCATCCCAGTACTAACCAGGCCCCCTGAACAGGCTGTCTCCATCCCAGACTAACCAGGCCCTGAACAGGCTGTCTCCATCCAGCAACCACCCAAACAGGCCTCCAGAAACCCCCTGAACAGGCTGTCTCCATCCCCAGTACTAACCAGGCCCTGAACAGGCTGTCTCCATCCCATACTAACCAGGCCCTGAACAGGCTGTCTCCATCCCAGTACTAACCAGGCCCTGAACAGGCTGTCCCCCATCCCAGCACTAACCAGGCCCTGAACAGGCTGTCTCCATCCCAGTACTAACCAGGGCCCTGAACAGGCTGTCTCCATCCCAGCACTAACCAGGGCCCTGAACAGGCTGTCTCCATCCCAGTACTAACCAGGCCCTGAACAGGCTGTCTCCATCCCAGTACTAACCAGGCCCTGAACAGGCTGTCTCCATCCCAGTACTAACCAGGCCCTGAACAGGCTGTCTCCATCCCAGCACTAACCAGGCCCTGAACAGGCTGTCTCCATCCCAGTACTAACCAGGCCCGACCCTGAACAGGCTGTCTCCATCCCAGTACTAACCAGGCCCTGAACAGGCTGTCTCCATCCCAGTACTAACCAGGCCCTGAACAGGCTGTCTCCATCCCAGCACTAACCAGGCCCGACCCTGAACAGGCTGTCTCCATCCCAGTACTAACCAGGCCCTGAACAGGCTGTCTCCATCCCAGCACTAACCAGGCCCGACCCTGAACAGGCTGTCTCCATCCCAGCACTAACCAGGCCCGACCCTGAACAGGCTGTCTCCATCCCAGCACTAACCAGGCCCGACCCTGAACGGCTGTCCTCCATCCCAGTACTAACCAGGCTAACCAGACCCTGAACAGGCTGTCTCCCATCCCAGTACTAAACCCAGGCCCTGAACAGGCTGTCTCCATCCAGACTTCCCGCAACGAACCAGGCCGCTACCCTGAACAGGCTGTCTCCATCCCAGTAACTAACACAGGCCCGACCCTGAACAGGCTGTCTCCATCCCAGTGACTAACCAGGCCCGACCCTGACCAGGCTGTCTCCATCCCAGTACTAACCAGGCCCGACCCTGAAACAGGCTGTCTCCATCCCCAGTACTAACCAGGCCCGACCCTGAACAGGCTGTCTCCATCCCAGTACTAACCAGGCCCTGAAAAGGCTGTCTCCATCCCAGTACTAACAGGCCCTGAACAGGCTGTCTCCATCCCAGTACTAACCAGGCCCGACCCTGAACAGGCTGTCTCCATCCCCAGTACTAACCAGGCCCTGAACAGGCTGTCTCCATCCCAGTACTAACCAGGCCCTGAACATGCTGTCTCCATCCCATTACTAACCAGGCCCGACTGAACGGGCTGTCTCCCATCCCAGTACTAACCAGGCCCTGAAACAGGCTGTCTCCATCCCAGTACTAACCAGGCCCGACCTGAACAGGCTGTCTCCATCCCAGTACTAACCAGGCCCGACCCTGAACAGGCTGTCTCCATCCCCAGTACTAACCAGGCCCCTGAACAGGCGTCTCCATCCCAGTACTAACCAGGCCCACCTGAAACAGGCTGTCTCATTCCCAGTACTAACCAGGCCCGACCCTGAACAGGCTGTCTCCATCCCAGTACTAACCAGGCCCTGAACAGGCTGTCTCCATCCCAGTACTAACCAGGCCCTGAACAGGCTGTCTCCATCCCAGTACTAACCAGGCCCGACCCTGAAACAGGCTGTCTCCATCCAGTACTAACCAGGCCCCTGAACAGGCTGTCTCCATCCCAGTACTAACCAGGCCCTGCTGAACAGGCTGTCTCCATCCCAGTACTAACCAGGCCCGACCCTGAACAGGCTGTCTCCATCCCAGTACTAACCAGGCCCTGAACAGGCTGTCTCCATCCCAAATACTAACCAGGCCCTGAACAGGCTGTCCCCCATCCCAGTACTAACCAGGCCCGACCCTGAACAGGCTGTTCTCCATCCCAGTACTAACCAGGCCCTGAACAGGCTGTCTCCATCCCAGACTAACCAGGCACCCTGAACAGGCTGTCTCCATCCAGTATTAACCAGGCCGACCCTGAACAGGCGTCTCCATCCATTTACTAACCAGGCCTGACAGGCTGTCTCATCCAGTACTAACCAGGCCCTGACGGCGTCCCCATCCCAGTATAACCATGGCCGACTGAACAGGCTGTCTCCATCCCGTTACTTACCAGGCCCGAACAGCGTCTCCATCCAGTACTAACCAGGCCCTGAACAGGCTGTCTCCATCCCAGTACTAACCAGGCCCGACCTAGCCTATGTAAATCTACAATCCCCCATAGTGCAACAGTTGACCTGTTCTATTCTGTGAGATAAATAAATATTCCAAACATATTCTGGGACAGTTGTGGGATGTGATAGATCCCAAATTAATACAACCACCAAAAACCTTTTAAAAGCAATGAGGCTGACGCAACAGATCAGAACGTTTAGCTTAAAATGTTAATAAACTATTTGGCAATTTTTTCACATTATAAGCGCAGCAATGTGCACACGGCAGTAGGCTATAAGCACGAATGTTCCAAAATGCAATCAATTAGTGGGAAAACACCGTTCTCAAAAGTGACTGCAAGTGCGATTATGCATGTAATGCTTTATTATAAAGGTGCATTTTTATTGTGAAAAATGATCTTCCCATAAACTTGAAACTCACGTGCCACCTATGTATGCCAGTTAGTCTCTACACCGGTTGTAAAGCGGATTAATGTGCCACTTTAGTTGTGATACAAACCTTATCAAAACCTATAGGCCTATGGGCTAGGCTACATGAGGTGTATGGTTTGAAAAAGTCGCAAAAAACAGGCATTCTTGTCTCTTGCACACAAGCTGGGCATCATTCACAAGTGATAATACATCATTCACAAGCGATAATACATCATTCACAAGCGATAATACATCATTCACAAGCGATAATACATCATTCACAAGCGATAATACATCATTCACAAGCAATAATACATCATTCACAAGCGATAATACATCATTCACAAGCGATAATACATCATTCACAAGCAATAATACATCACTCACAAGCGATGGCCTAATATTGTCACCCATCACACTACTCATTTTTTTGGTGTGTATTTGACACCCCATCTTGTCTCATCGCTGCAACTCCCCAACGGGCTCGGGGAGAGGCGAAGGTCGAGTCATGCGTCCTCCGAAACATGACCCGGCTAACCGCGCTCCTTAACACCCGCCAGCTTAACCCGGAAGCCAGCCGCACCAATGTGTCGGAGGAAACACCGTTCAACTGGCAACCGTGGTCAGCCTGCAGGCACCCGGCCCGCCACAAGGAGTCGCTAGGGCACGATGAGCCAAGTAAGGCCCCCCCCGGCCAAACCCTCCCCTAAACCAGACGACGCTGGGCCAATTGTGCGCCGTCCTGTGGGACTCCCGTCCACGGCCAGTTGTGGCACAGCCTGGGAATGAACCCAGGTCTGTAGTGACGTCTCTACTGCGATGTAGTGCCTTAGACCGCTGCAGCACTCAGGAGGCCCTCCATCACACTATTCTTCAGTTAATCTTTGCATATACTAAATAATATGTGTGAAATTTGTTTTGATTTAGAATGGACCATTATCATGCGGGGGGGGGGGGGTACATAGCAAATGGAGGCACTTTTCCTGTGGTTCATTTTCATGCCAGCCAGGTAGGCTATACTCCTGTTGTAAAGAGAAGCAATGTGCTTAATATTAGGAAAGTTGAGAAATAAATATAGTAGGCCTAGCCTATAGAAAGCTGATGGGATCCTCCTCTTTTTATTAGAGGCCATCACTCTGTTTTCTCCCGCAACTGCATAGCCTATAGAAATGTTGCGCAGTATGAGCTCATGGGCTCTCATGAAGTGTTCGATTAGATTTTCGATGACCTTTGCATTGATGTCTGAGTGATTAGAGGGACAGTAGAGTGCTGATTACCAGGCAGTTAGCAGGTTTGGTAGGCTACTAATGACCAGCAGCAGCATCAGAGCTTGGAGAAGCCAACTGTAGTTACCTTGGAATTTAACTGTGGTCATGACTTGGGAACTCCGGTGTGGCGGTAATATGGTTAACCGTAACATCCCTACCCTTGGCTCATCTCTGCAGCTCTTCAATGGGCTCGGGTGAGGTCGAAGGTCGAGTCATGCGTCCTCTGAAACATAATAATAATAATAATATGCCATTTAGCAGACGCTTTTATCCAAAGCGACTTACAGTCATGCGTGCATACATTTTTGTGTATGGGTGGTCCCGGGGATCGAACCCACTACCCTGGCGTTACAAGCGCCGTGCTCTACCAGCTGAGCTACAGAGGACCAAACATGACCCGCCTGGCTGCCTACCTCTTATCACACTGCTCGCTTGACCCGGATGTGTCAGAGGAAACACCGTTCAACTGACGACCGGAGTCAGCCTGCAGGCGCCCGGCCCTGCCACAAGGCGTCTCTAGGGCACGATGAGCCAAGGAACGCCCCCCCGGCCAAACCCTCCCCTACCCCGGACGGCGCTAGGCCAATTGTGCGCCGTCCTATGGGGCTCCCGGTCACGGCCGGCTGTGACACCGCCTGGGTTCGACCCCCAGGCTGTAATGGCGCCTCAACACTGCGGTGCAGTGCTTTTGACCACTGCGCCGCCCAGGACTCAGGACACCATGCACATTTTGACAGCAAATCTTAGACTACAAGACCACATATACTTTGTGTGCTGTAAACTATATGTTTTGACTTCACATCTCCCCTTTATTCAATGTGTGTCCAATTGAGTTCAGAATAGGGTTGCAAAATTTCCCAGAAAACCCTAGTTCAGAATATGGTTGAATGAAACCAAATTCATGACCTCTGTTTTTTCTCTCAGCTGGACTATGTGGTGACCTGTGCCGTCTGCACACGCTCAGATGCAGGAGACATCCACATCCACAGGAAGAAGTCTCAGGTAAGAGACAGGACTCTGCAGACTAGATGGTCCCAAAGGAATACAATTACTAATGTAGCTATGGATAGATAGGCCTCCATAGAACCTGACCCAGGAACTCTCTCTCTCTGTCTCTCTCCCTCTCTCTCCCCCCCGTCTCTCCTGTCTCTCTCCCCTCCCCTCGCTCTGTCTGTCCTCTCTGTCTCTCTCCCCCTCTCTCTGTCTCTCTCCCCCCTCTCTGTCCTCTTCTCCTCTTTCTCTCTCCCCCTCCCCTGTCTCTCTCTCTTCGTTCTTCCTCTCTCTCTCTGTCTCTCTCTTCTTCTCTCTTGTCTCTGCCCCTCTCTTTCTCTCTCTGTCTCTCTTCGTCTCTCTCTATTCTTCTCTGTCTCTCTCTCTCTCTCTCTCTCTCCTCTCTCCCTCTCTCTCTCTCTTCTCTCTGTCTCTCTCTCTCTCTCTCTTCCCTCTCTCTCTCTCTCTCTCCTTCTCTCTCCTCTCTCTCTCTCTCTCTCTCTCTTCTCTTTTTCTTCTCCCTCTCTCTGCTTCTCTCCCCTCTCCTTCTTCCGCTCTTCCTTCTCTCTCTCTCCTCCTCTCTCTCTCTCGTCTCTCTCTCTCTGTCTCTCTCCTCTATCCCTCTCTCTCTCTCTCCCTCTCTCTCTCTCTTCTCTCTCTCTCTCTTCTCTCTACTCTCTATCCGGTCTCTCATCTCTTGTCTCTATTCTCCTATCTCTCTCTCTCTACCTCTCTTCTCTCTCTCCTCTCTCTCTCTCTCTCTCCACAGCAAGTGTATGCGTCTCCAAGTAAACACGCCATGGACAGTAAAGGAGAGGAGTCTAAGATGAGCTACCCCAACATCTTCTTTATGATTGACAACTTTGAGGAGGTAACCACAACAACCACCCTTATCCCCCCTCCCTGCCCAATAAGGCGCCTGACAGGTTGTGATTGACAGGCGGGGCATCCAGTAGGACCCCTGAGGAATGGGCTGTGTATTGAAGTGTGACCTGGGGTGTATTCATTAGTCGGATTCTGTTGCAACTGGAAACCGTTTACTCCAAATGGAAAACGTTTAGCAATGAAAATGAGAGTTTCTATTGGTCCCTCCCCGTTTCATTCCATTTGCTCTGTTTGCTTCCGTTGGTTCCTAGAGTCAGTGGCGATTTTAGCAAATATTGGTGGGGAAAACAAACAAATAAAAATGTTGGGGATGCAGCCAGCAAAGCCACTACACTAAACAATACATTAATTGCACTATAACGGTGACAAACGGTGCCCACAACCTGTTAGGGCCTAATTAAAGCTGTCCCAACAGCAGAGTCCCAACAGCAGAGTCCCAGCAGCAGAGTCCCGACAGCAGAGTCCCAGCAGCAGAGTCCCAACAGCAGAGTCCCGACAGCAGAGTCCCGACAGCAGAGTCCCGACAGCAGAGTCCCAACAGCAGAGTCCCAACAGCAGAGTCCCAACAGCAGAGTCCCGACAGCAGAGTCCCAGCAGCAGAGTCCCAACAGCAGAGTCCCAGCAGCAGAGTCCCAACAGCAGAGTCCCAACAGCAGAGTCCCAACAGCAGAGTCCCAACACCTTACCACTGCTACACCTGGCTATCAGAGGAGCCTTGTCTGGCAGCGAAACAGTTCATTCAGCCTCATTTACTGCCTTTTAAAAGAAACATAGCTGATATGGCTGACTTGCTTAAACAAATGTGGTTTCTACTGACAATTGAGATGTACAAACTATGGCATAAGGGGACGACGAGCGGATAAGAGGCAATCCGTAATTTTGATTAAGATATTAATGAGCGAGCTAGGACGGACGTAGTCAATATAACTATTTGTTCAGCACTTTTGAAATGTACAGCGACAGAATTCAGAACATGGGCCGTCCTTACAGTGTTCTCCCTGTACACCAAGTCAGAACCGTAGGATAAATAAAGGGGGCATATAAGCAGACAATGAAAGCTCTTACAATATTCGATGATGACATTTCTCTAAAACAGGCTATAGGCTACATGTGCACCACCAAGTCAGAACAGTAGGCTAAGTTATGAGGGGGAAAGGGACCAAATTATTAGGGTGAGGCACATGGGCTACTAACAGCTTACTACACAACATACACTTAGTATTACTTTCTTAGCTACAGTATACATATCTCCCTGGCATATTACATCATTTATGCAGCAGCCTACAAGACATTTTTGGACTCACCTTGTTGTGCTGTGCTCACTTGAACAGGAAGGTGGCGCGGCGGTCCTTCGTGGCCAAATTTTGTCATCAAACTTTGTCATCAAAGTCTGCCATTCTCTGAGTATATGGTGCTTTCAAGACAACTGGGAACTCTGAAAAAACAAGGTTGAATCGTGACGTGATGACGTCAGTGATCTTCAGGTCGGAGCTCTAGAAAGAGGGCCTGAGTTCCCGACAATTAGAATTCCGAGTCGGATGACGGTTCAAAACTTATTTTCCCAGTCGGAGCTCGTTTTTTCCCCGAGTTCCCAGTTGTCTTGAACTCACTGAAGTCAGATTTCCCAGTTCCGAGTTAACAGTTGTTTTGAGCACGGCAGAAATCATGCTGGATTGAATTCCAACGGGGGGCCAGTATGAAAAATGTATGCACTCACTAACTGTATGTCGCTCTGGATAAGAGTGTCTGCTAAAATGACTAAAAAATTTAAAATAAATTGACAGTTTTTTAATTTAAGCTTGGAAAAGACACCCTTAAACCCAGACTTGGACCCCACACCCACTCCACTGAATAGCAGGCTAGTGATTGCTTTGCAACGCTTGCAGTTAGCCACTGATTCCTTCCAAACCACTCATTGTTGAATTTGCGATTTCCAACTTTGTTGTGTAATGTTTATGTCCAATGGCCGATGAGCACCGATACTTTTTATCTGTCATTTCTCTTCATTATTTCTCTTCAAATGACAGTCATCATCATGAATCAAGTCGACAATCTACTGGCAAATCCTTTTTAATCCTTGCTAGCTACGATTTTGAAAAGTATGATGCTGACATGATCAGTCCAATCAAAGCTACTGTAGATATAACGTGATTTGACGTCATTTTATCTGTGGCCAATGACCTTGAGCCTTCTTGGATGGGCACTTCTAATGCAACTCTATGGCAGCACCTAAGGGGCTTGAATGTTCGAGCTCTACCCTTAGATTTTGCGGTGACGTAGTGTCCCCATGAGTGACAGAACATTGAGCCAATCACGGCGTAACTAGAGAACATTACCAACCCCTACGCTCCGTATGTTCCGCTGGCTGCCCCACCACCACAGAAAGCACTGAGCCAGGCTGAAACACCTGCATTTTGGAGCTGCTTTACTCCAGAAAGCAAAAAAAGAGACAATGTTTGTATGCGGCTTTTATTAACTCAATTAATTTTAATTTGACATTGTTTGATATGTTTGATATGTGACACGTATTAATACCAAAATAACATGCAAAAACAGGCTCTGCCCCACCTGCCCTGAATGACGGGTCGCCACTGCCCAGAGTAAACGGTTTCCGTTGCAAAAACGTTTTGCAACAGACCAGACGCAACGGCATTCTGACTAATGAATACACCCCTGATGCTGTCAGTCCATTTTAAAAGCCACTACTCCAGTCACTGATTCTAGTGCATCAACCTCATGGCATGTGGTCCTCTGTAGCTCAGCTGGTAGAGCACGGCGCTTGAAATGTATATTATAATTATAAATGGATAGATTATGGCAGACCGGGTCAGTTACAAATGGCTTTTTCCTCCCTCTCTCCCTCCCTCCCTCCCTCTCTCTCTCTCTCCCTCCCTCCCTCCCTCCCTCCCTCCTGGATATCAATGACTTTCTTTCTAGGTATTTCCAGTAAAGAATAAAACAGTAATGGTTTAACCCGTCTTCCAGTTACCGGTATCAGCTCTCTCAGTTCTTTCATTGGCAATAATAAAATGTTGCCCATATTCTTGAAGAATGTTAAACTCACTGGTTTGAGACTTACAGAATTGACCAAAGCCACTAAATATCGCTGCTAATTAAATATCTATATTAAAAATACTGTGATTGAAGAAAAATAGTTCAGAGATTAAATTAGTTTAAAAAGACATGTTAATTACCATTTCTACACGCTTTCTACCTGGTTTAAGCCGTTTAAGTTCAGACTGGAGTATTTTTTTCATAAAACAAATACACATATATATATTATTTACTCAGACACCCGCAACCCATAAGAGACACGCACACACACACACACACACACACACGCACACGCACACGCACACGCACACACACACACATTAGACACACACACACACACACGTTAGACACACATTAGGGTCGTGACCCACCAGTTGAGAATCGCTCTTCTAACGTGTGTGTGTGTGTGTGTGTGTGTGTGCGTGCGTGCGTGTGCGTGTCTCTCTCTGTCTGTGTAGGTGTTCTGTGACATGACGGTAGGAGAGGGGGAGATGGTGTGTGTGGAGTTGGTAGCCAGCGATAAGAGCAACCTGTTCCAAGGAGTCATCTTCCAAGGCTCCATCCGCTATGAGGCTCTGAAGAAGGTCTACGACAACAGAGTAAGGATCCATAACCTTCCTCTATAGACGTATATCTGGAGTTCCTCTCTGGAGAATATATAGTCTGTGGAAATGTGAAATCAGCCTCAAGCTGTGAGAAACGTTACTGCTTGAATTACATAAAGACGACACACCTTGGAAAGAAGGGAACTGGTTATGTTTGTCTTGATGAAATGTAGTTTACGGACATTACTAAAATAAAAAATAAAAAACAGGACATTGTAGTTTACCGAAATTTCTAAGGGAAAAACCGAGGACACATAGATGGTTAAATACAGTTGAAGTCGGAAGTTTACATGAACTTAGGTTGGAGTCATTAAAACTCGTTTTTTCAACCACTCCACAAATTTCTTGTTAACAAACTATAGTTTTGGCAAGTCGGTTAGGACATCTACTTTGTGCATGACACAAGTAATTTTTCCAACAATTGTTTACAGACAGATTATTTCACTTATAATTCACTGTATCACAATTCCAGTGGGTCAGAAGTTTACATACACTAAGTTGACTGTGCCTTTAAACAGCTTGGAAAATTCCAGAAAAAGATGTCATGGCTTTAGAAGCTTCTGATAGGCTAATTGACATCATTTGAGTCAATTAGAGGTATACCTGTGGATGTATTTCAAGGCCTACCTTCAAACTCAGTGCCTCTTTGCTTGACATCATGGGAAAATCAAAAGAAATCAGCCAAGACCTCAGAAAAAGAATTGTAGACCTCCACAAGTCTGGTTAATCTTTGGGAGCAATTTCCAAACGCCTGAAGGTACCACGTTCATCTGTACAAACAATAGCACGCAAGTATAAACACCATGGGACCACGCAGCCGTCATACCGCTCAGGAAGGAGACGCGTTCTGTCTACTAGAGATTAACGTACTTTGGTGCGAAAAGTGCAAATCAATCCCAGAACAACAGCAAAGGACCTTGTGAAGATGCTGGAGGAAACAGGTACAAAAGTATCTATATCCACAGTAAAACAAGTCCTATATCGACATAACCTGAAAGGCCTCTCAGCAAGGAAGAAGCCACTGCTCCAAAACCGCCATAAAAAAGCCAGACTACGGTTTGCAACTGCACATGGGGACAAAGATCATACTTTTTGGAGAAATGTCCTCTGGTCTGAAATAGAACTGTTTGGCCATAATGACCATCGTTATGTTTGGAGGAAAAAGGAAGTTGCTTGCAAGCCGAAGAACACCATCCCAACCGTGAAGCACGGGGGTGGCAGCATCATGCTGTGGGGGTGCTTTGCTGCAGGAGTGAATGGTGCACTTCACAAAATAGATGGCATCATGAGGAAGGAAAATTATGTGGATATATTGAAGCAACATCTCAAGACATCAGTCAGGAAGTTAAAGCTTGGTCGCAAATGGTTCTTCCAAATGGACAACGACCCCAAGCATACTTCCAAAGTTGTGGCATAATGGCTTAAGGACAACAAAGTCAAGGTATTGGAGTGGCCATCACAAAGCCCTGACCTCAATCCTATAGAAAATGTGTGGGCAGAACTGAAAAAGCGTGTGCGAGCAAGGAGGCCTACAAACCTGACTCAGTTACACCAGCTCTGTCAGGAGGAATGGGCCAAAATTCACCCAACTTATTGTGGGAAGCTTGTGGAAGGCTACCCGAAACGTTTGACCCAAGTTAAACAATTTAAAGGCAATGCTACCAAATACTAATTGAGCGTATGTAAACTTCTGACCCACTGGGAATGTGATGAAAGAAATGAAAGCTGAAATAAATCATTCTCTCTACTATTATTCTGACATTTCACATTCTTAAAATAAAGTGGTGATCCTAACTGACCTAAGACAGGGAATTTTTACTAGGATTATATGTTAGGAATTGTGAAAAACTGAGTTTAAATGTATTTGGCTAAGCTGTATGTAAACTTCCGACTTCAACTGTACATGACAAGATTGAAAACAATCCATATGAAGTCTTTATTTTCTGTTCTGTCTTTTGTTTGTTTGTAGGTGAGCGTGGCAGCTAAGATGGCCCAGCGCATGTCATTTGGCTTCTATAAGTACAACAACATGGAGTTTGTCAGGATGAAGGGACCGCAGGGCAAAGGTCACGCTGAGATGGCAGTGAGCCGGGTCCCGACCGGAGACACCTCCCCCTGCGGCACAGAGGAGGACCTGGACTCACCCCTACACGAGAGGGTGGGTAGAGTACAGGCCGCACACACACACAAGAAGATTAGACACACACACACACACAAGAAGATTAGACACACACACACACACACACACGAGAAGGTTAGACACACACACACACACACACACACACACGAGAAGATTAGACACACACACACACACACACACACACACACACACACACACACACACACGAGAAGGTTAGACACACACATGAGCCGGGTCCCGACCGGAGACACCTCCACTTCTATTCTGTAACTTGTGTGTGTGTGTGCTCGTGTGTGTGTGTGTGTGTGTGCTCGTGTGTGTGTGTGTGTGTGTGTGTGCTTGCGTTTACCACACAGGAAATAGACGATATATGATTGATTGTATCTTCAGTCCCAGATGGTCTCCATGTCTGAGATACTGTCACCCTTTAACTGGCGTTTAGTCTGATGGCCACTAGAGTTGGGGACATCAGAGACTGGATTTAACTGGCGTTTAGTCTGATGGCCACTAGAGTTGGGGACATCAGAGACTGGATTTAACTGGCGTTTAGTCTGATGGCCACTAGAGTTGGGGACAGCAGAGACTGGATTTAACTGGCGTTTAGTCTGATGGCCACTAGAGTTGGGGACATCAGAGACTGGATTTAACTGGCGTTTAGTCTGATGGCCACTAGAGTTGGGGACATCAGAGACTGGATTTAACTGAGGTTCTGATGGCCACTAGAGTTGTGGACATCAGAGACTGGATTTAACTGAGGTTCTGATGTTCACTAGAGTTGTGGAGGCAAGAATGGAATGACTTAAAACGTGTTCTGGCACGGTCCGTGTTACACAAAACCCACTCTATTAAAGATCAATGACTATGTAGCAACATGGCAGTAGAGTATGTTATTATTTCAGTTACTATGGTAGGATCGTGTTCTTCCTCTTGGTACGATTAGATATGTTCTGATTGGCTGTCTGTGTGTTCTCTCCGTAGTAGGTTGGTTCTGATTGGCTGTCTGTGTGTTCTCTCCGTAGTAGGTTGGTTGTGATTGGCTGTCTGTGTGTTCTCTCTGTAGTAGGTTGGTTGTGATTGGCTGTCTGTGTGTTCTCTCCGTAGTAGGTTGGTTCTGATTGGCTGTCTGTGTGTTCTCTCTGTAGTAGGTTGGTTGTGATTGGCTGTCTGTGTGTTCTCTCTGTAGTAGGTTGGTTGTGATTGGCTGTCTGTGTGTTCTCTCCGTAGTAGGTTGGTTCTGATTGGCTGTCTGTGTGTTCTCTCCGTAGTAGGTTGGTTGTGATTGCCTTTCTGTGTTCTCTCTGTAGTACGTTGGTTGTGATTGGCTATCTGTGTTGTTTGGTCAGGTGACGTCGTTCAGCACCCCTCCCACCCCGGAGAGGACCCGCCCCTCATTCTTCTCCCCGTCTCTCCGGAGGAAGGTCCCCAGGAACCGTATCGCTGAGATGAAGAAGAGCCACTCAGCCAACGATAGTGAAGAGCTCTTCAGGGAAGAGGATGACGAGGGTAACAATATTCCTATACCCCAACACCCCAGTAAAACCCAACCCTACTTCCTACCCCAACACCACAGTAAAACCCAACCCTACTTCCTACCCCAACACCCCAGTAAAACCCAACCCTACTTCCTACCCCAACACCCCAGTAAAACCCAACCCTACTTCCTACCCCAACACCCCAGTAAAACCCAACCCTACTTCCTACCCCAACACCCCAGTAAAACCCAACCCTACCCAACACCCCAGTAAAACCCAACCCTACTTCCTACCCCAACACCCCAGTAAAACCCAACCCTACTTCCTACCCCAACACCCCAGTAAAACCCAACCCTACCCCAACACCCCAGTAAAACCCAACACCCCAGTAAAACCCAACCCTACCCCAACACCCCAGTAAACCCCAACACCCCAGTAAAACCCAACCCTACTTCCTACCCCAACACCCCAGTAAAACCCAACCCTAATTCCTACCCTACTGACCTTAGCAGAGCAGTGAAAACGGTTACATTGAAATGTCCAAAACCCTTTCAACCCCAGTGTGTAAAGTGTTTTATTAAATCATTTTTGTACACTTGGTAAAAAAAAAAAGAGATTCTAGAGATTTGCAGGTAAAGAGAGGCAAGTGATCTAACCCGGAGAGAGAGAGAGATCTAACCCTGAGAGAGAGATCTAACCCTGAGAGAGAGAGAGAGAGAGAGATCTAACCCTGAGAGAGAGAGAGAGAGAGAGATCTAACCCTGAGAGAGAGAGATCTAACCCTGAGAGAGAGAGAGAGAGGGAGAGAGAGAGATCTAACCGAGAGAGAGAGATCTAACCCCGAGAGAGAGAGAGAGATCTAACCCTGAGAGAGAGAGAGAGATCTAACCCTGAGAGAGAGAGAGATCTAACCCTGAGAGAGTTAGAGAGAGTTGGAGATGAATGATTGCCCTGTTTGTGTTGATGAAGAGAGTGTATGTAATGTTTAGTAGTCTTGGTTCATTCTGACCTGGTAGAGAGAAGCTGGCTAACTGTAGCTGCAGAAATAGGGAGAAAGATATTCTAGTTGCCCTGGCTGGAAGAGATGAACTATAACCTGTATCATGTTACCCTGGATGTGTTGCAGAGAGAGTGTATAACCTGTATCACGTTACCCTGGATGTGTTGAAGAGAGAGTGTATAACCTGTATCATGTTACCCTGGATGTGTTGAAGAGAGAGTGTATAACCTATAACCTGTATCATGTTACCCTGGATGTGTTGAAGAGAGAGTGTATAACCTGTATCATGTTACCCTGGATGTGTTGAAGAGAGAGTGTATAACCTGTATCATGTTACCCTGGATGTATTGAAGAGAGAGTGTATAACCTGTATCATGTTACCCTGGATGTGTTGAAGAGAGAGTGTATAACCTGTATCATGTTACCCTGGATGTGTTGAAGAGAGAGTGTATAACCTGTATCATGTTACCCTGGATGTGTTGAAGAGAGAGTGTATAACCTGTATCATGTTACCCTGGATGTGTTGAAGAGAGAGTGTATAACCTGTATCATGTTACCCTGGATGTGTTGAAGAGAGAGTGTATAACCTGTATCATGTTACCCTGGATGTGTTGAAGAGAGAGTGTATAACCTGTATCACTGTGTCCCCATGCAGACCTGTGTAACCAGTCCAACCTGCGGTCTCGCTCCCTGTCGGGTACAGGTCGATCCCTGGTGGGATCTTGGCTCAAACTGAACCGTACAGACGAGTACTTCCTGCTTTACTCCCACCTGACCTACGTCACCCTGCCGCTGCACCGTATCACCTCAGGTCAAAGACGCACACGCCATCGGTCCCAAATGGTTTCCTGTTCCCCCGTTAGTCACAAGCACAATTTGAAAGATGTTAATGAGTTACTGTTCATAGAAGGAAATCAGTCAATTGAAATAAATTCATTAGGCCCTAATCTGTGGATTTCACATGACTGGGCAGGGGCGCAGCCATGGGTGGGCCTGGGAGGGCATAGGCCCACCCACTGGGGAGCCAGAACCAGCCAATCAGAATTAGTTTTTCCCCACACAAGGGCTTTATTACAGACAGAAATACTCCTCAGCTGACTGCTCATTTCTTTTTTATGTTATTGTAAACTGCTGACTGATTTTTGTTGTTGTTGTCTGTCATCAGATATCCTGGAGGTGAGACAAAAGCCCATCCTGATGACATAGCAGATCAGATCAGAGCTCCAGTCCTCCTCCAACTGCCCCAGAGCCTCCCTACCAAGAGCCTACCTGCATCAGGCCCTGACTGACACCACTACAACCCAGTGGCGAGATGGAGAACTACAGCAACACTACCGCCATCTGGTGGTGACATGGAGGAATTACAGCGACACTACCGCCATCTGGTGGTGACATGGATTTACTGCGACACTACTGCCATCTGGTGTTGACATGGAGGAATTACAGCAACACTACCACCATCTGGTGGTAACATGGAGGAATTACAGCAACACTACCACCATCTGGTGTTGACATGGAGGACTTACAGCAACACTACCACCATCTGGTGGTGAGATGGAGGAATTTCAGCAACACTACCACCATCTGGTGTTGACATGGAGGACTTACAGCAACACTACCACCATCTGGTGGTGAGATGGAGGAATTTCAGCAACACTACCACCATCTGGTGGTGAGATGGAGGAATTTCAGCAACACTACCGCCATCTGGTGGTGACATGGAGGAATTACAGCGACACTACCGCCATCTGGTGTCGACATGGAGGAATTACAGCAACATTACCACCATCTGGTGTTGACATGGAGGACTTACAGCAACACTACCACCATCTGGTGGTGACATGGAGGACTTACAGCAACACTACCACCAGGTGGCGATTCAGAGAACTACAACCAAACCTGGCGTCAACGGCTAGCGATGACTTAAAGGGAAACCTTTTGTAACAATGAAAACCAGCCAATCAAAAAGTGCCTCTTCCCTCTGTCATGTCCCTGCTCGATGAGGATTCGCAGGTGGGTGCGAGGCGGTCGCCAGGGAAACAGGCATAGCAACACATCCTGGGACACACCTGTCCTTCAGAATCACATGATCACGAAGTGAAGCGCCATTGGCTGAACTCTGACCTGGAACGAAAAGGATTTAGAATGTCTCTTGGACAAATCTAAAATGGAGCCCTATTCCCTGTATAGTGCACCGACTCTGACCCAAAGCACTGTAGTGCTCTATAAAGGGAATAGGGTTCTATTTTGGACAACGCCTCTGTTGTCTTGTAAATATCTTGCTGCTTAACTACTCACTGATAAGCCTAGAGAAAGGTTACGCTTCATTCTGACGGAACATAAAGCTTCTCTCTGTTTTGCTGTTGCGTGTTTTTGGTGTCTTTCTCCATCACTGTGTGGTGGGGGAAGGTTGAAGGGATTGTGTGTGTGTGTGTGTGTGTCTACAACGTTTTATAGGTCCCAGGGTTTTGGTGATGTGCTGCCTGTGGTCTTCAGCGCACCACTTCAGCGTTACTCTGAGGCCCAAATGGCACCCTAGTCCCTGTATTGACCAGGGCTATAGTATATAGGAAATAGGGTGCCGTTTTGGGACGCGGTCTTGAGTATCTATTAAGTTTACTCTACAGTTTTAAATGTGACTTTTTAACTTTCAACAGGGAACTTAAAATGATGATCCGTATAAAAAAAGACTTGGAAATTCACACACACCTATCAAAGACTGGAGAAATATCAGGATTTTCCTCAGCACTAGAACAAGATGGCTGAATATAGAAACCCAGCGCCTGCTGATACTCAGCGTTAGGAGCCGTAACCAACACAACTCTGTGCAGGGATACTAAAGCCTGTTGATACCTGGTGTAACCTCATCCCCAGGCTCCCATTTCTGTCGCACAGAGCCTGGTAACGGTGTGGGACTGTCTAGAAACTTAGGGGGGGGGAATAAGGCTGTAACGTAACAAAATGTGGAAAAAGTCAAGGGGTCTGAATACTTTCCGAATGCACTGTAGATAAGGAAACACTCTGGGCTCCAGGAAAACAATTTTAAGATAGTAACGATATTTTAATTTTATTTTGGTGGTGGGAATGGGCTTCCATATGTATCGGATGGGTTAGGGTTAATCACAATAAATGTTACACCACATTAACCATAATATTTTGGGAAGACCAATTGATTCTAAATTCCAGCATATAAAGTTTGTGAAAACTATTTCTAAGATGCATACTTACAGATTTTCCTAACTCACGTCGTTGAACCCCCTAAGCTAGCATATGGAATTGTTTTAAAGATGGTCAACCCTAAAGTCCACAATACAAAGGGGAGGGTCTAAGGGTTGGACTAGATGCTGATGGACTGAGAGATCAGCCAATTAAAACCGGCGGCTGTTTCCACCACTCCTGCCACAGACTCCCATTCGAGTTCCATTCTGAAGAGAGAGAGAGAGAGGAGGGAAAGAGAGAGAGAGAGAGACAGAGAGAGAGACAGAGAGCGAGGGAGGGATGAGAGAGAGAGAGAGAGAGAGAGAGACAGAGAGAGAGAGAGGGGGAGAGAGACAGAGACAGAGACAGAGAGAGAGGGGGAGAGAGAGAGAGAGAGACAGAGAGAGAGAGAGACAGAGACAGAGAGAGAGAGCGAGAGAGAGCCGGCTGGTTGATGAGATTACACCTGGCGCATAGAGGGATGGACCAGGAAATCTGTTCACGATGCGGAAACACCGTGGACGGATACGAGATGCATTTTAATACCATGTGTAGATGCAACGGATAAAATGTGGGCACAATCAGAACGTGAACCTAGATCAGGACAAGGGACGGCAGTTAGCACCAGGTATAAACAGGGCCGATGTGTGAATGACCCCTGACCCCATCCTTCCTAAGCACTGTTGGAATGCTTCAGACATGCATCCTTCCATCCTACCTGCCTTGAAGTAATCACAGATCTCCAATTGGTTGGATAGGTGTAAGCCTCGCACAACTCAATCTTGATCAACTCGACGTCTGTTTCTGATTTATTTGAATCGTGTGTAGTAAAGTGAGAAAACGTGCACCCCTTGAAGTCCGCAGGGTCAGGATTGGGCAACGCTGGCTTACACCTATCCAATCACTTAAGAGCTGTGATTACCTCAAGGGAACCAGAAAGGATGGACACATTTCTTCCGGATTTCAACTGGGCTCCTCTCTGTTCCCTCAAGCCTTAAAACCATTAATGTAACATAAAAGCTTTAGTCAATGTTCGTTTAGTTAGTTAAGATTCCCCACTTCTCTGTTGTATCATTTCTCCCCGTTACTAGATGCTGACGACAACGTTACATTAACCACTCAGACGTCAGTACCAGCAGCAGAGTTCTCCATGCTGTTTCCTGTAGTTTGGCCATCTGGTTGTATTGGTCGTAGTCTTCACAGAGACTCAGTTGGTTTTGCTCACGTCCTTTCCTCCTTTTAAAAAAAGGTCAAAAGGTACTCGAGGGGAGGAAACGTGGAAACAAGTGTGCTTGTATGAAATTAATCTCCTTCTCCTTCAGACAGATTATGTTTACAGAGGAATCTCTAAATGTGTAAAGTTATAACACATTTAGCTAGTTGTGCCAGACATTTTCTAGGTCAAAAGGTCACCAGCGTATCTTTTCTAAACGTGTGCATGCTTTTCTCCTCAGAGAAAACAGCTGATTCAAAGACTGATATCAAATCACTTCCTGGCAGGATACAGTTGTGCTTCCTTGGTGGGAAGAAGCTTTGAGGAGAGGACACTCCTCTGTTCAACTTTTAACCAATTTCCTGAGATTCTACATATTCTGCCATGGAGCAGAGAGGAAATGTTGCAGTTTTAAAGCTCATTTCCTGTAATTCTATAAATTTCGCCATGGCTAATGCTGTGTTCATTTGCTCAAACATAAAATCAATACTGCTAAATTTGTTTTTGGAATGTAATTCTCCCTCACTGACTAGCTTTTATTTTGGCAGAGTGGTTTCAGAGAGAAGCCTGTCCCGCCATTCTCTGGTCTAAAGTAGTGCACTATATAGGGAATAGGGTGCCATTCTCTGGTCTAAAGTAGTGCACTATATAGGGAATAGGGTGCCATTCTCTGGTCTAAAGTAGTGCACTATATAGGGAATAGGGTGCCATTCTTTGGTCTAAAGTAGTGCACTATATAGGGAATAGGGTGCCATTCTCTGGTCTAAAGTAGTGCACTATATAGGGAATAGGGTGCCATTCTCTGGTCTAAAGTAGTGCACTATATAGGGAATAGGGTGCCATTCTCTGGTCTAAAGTAGTGCACTATATAGGGAATAGGGTGCCATTCTCTGGTCTAAAGTAGTGCACTAAATAGGGAATAGGGTGCCATTCTCTGGTCTAAAGTAGTGCACTAAATAGGGAATAGGGTGCCATTCTCTGGTCTAAAGTAGTGCACTAAATAGGGAATAGGGTGCCATTCTCTGGTCTAAAGTAGTGCACTAAATAGGGAATAGGGTGCCATTCTCTGGTCTAAAGTAGTGCACTATATAGGGAATAGGGTGCCATTCTCTGGTCTAAAGTAGTGCACTATATAGGGAATAGGGTGCCATTCTCTGGTCTAAAGTAGTGCACTATATAGGGAATAGGGTGCCATTCTCTGGTCTAAAGTAGTGCACTATATAGGGAATAGGGTGCCATTCTCTGGTCTAAAGTAGTGCACTATATAGGGAATAGGGTGCCATTCTCTGGTCTAAAGTAGTGCACTATATAGGGAATAGGGTGCCATTCTCTGGTCTAAAGTAGTGCACTATATAGGGAATAGGGTGCCATTCTCTGGTCTAAAGTAGTGCACTATATAGGGAATAGGGTGCCATTCTCTGGTCTAAAGTAGTGCACTATATAGGGAATAGGGTGCCATTCTCTGGTCTAAAGTAGTGCACTATATAGGGAATAGGGTGCCATTCTCTGGTCTAAAGTAGTGCACTATATAGGGAATAGGGTGCCATTCTCTGGTCTAAAGTAGTGCACTATATAGGGAATAGGGTGCCATTCTCTGGTCTAAAGTAGTGCACTATATAGGGAATAGGGTGCCATTCTCTGGTCTAAAGTAGTGCACCATATAGGGAATAGGGTGCCATTCTCTGGTCTAAAGTAGTGCACTATATAGGGAATAGGGTGCCATTCTCTGGTCTAAAGTAGTGCACTATATAGGGAATAGGGTGCCATTCTCTGGTCTAAAGTAGTGCACTATACTATATAGGGAATAGGGTGCCATTCTCTGGTCTAAAGTAGTGCACTATATAGGGAATAGGGTGCCATTCTCTGGTCTAAAGTAGTGCACTATATAGGGAATAGGGTGCCATTCTCTGGTCTAAAGTAGTGCACTATATAGGGAATAGGGTACCAGTTGGGACACAGGCATCAAACTGCTTTAACTACTACTACCAAAAAATACAATTTTTGCAGCGTTACAATTACATTATTACAGATCCAATATTACATTATTCCAGATCCATTATTCCAGATCCATTATTCCAGATCCATTATTCCAGATCAGATCCTTTTCAGAACATTTTGGAACCTTGTTTATTACTCTTCTGCTTCTCTTGGCACTAGAGGCCCCTGTCTGTCTCTCTGTCTGTCCCCTGCGGGAACGACACCGTTCCAAAATGCTTCTTTACCCACGTTGGTTTTTGTATCAATAGACAGTAGATGTGCATGTTAGGGCCATACTTCTGTATCAATACCAGTCTGTATTGTACATTTCCCTGTACTGATAAATACACATCAGCAGAAAATACCGTGGAAGTGTCATTTCTTTCCCTCAGGCCCATTAGTCATGGATCACCAGAGGTACACTGTGTTCATATTCTGACCCAAATAGCACCGGATTCCCTTCATAGTTCTACGTTTGACAGGTCAGACCCTTCTTCTAAGTATGAGATGCATTTAAAGGCAAGTCTGGTAAATATTTCAGTGTTCACCTCAACCGACAGTGCCAAGAAAAAAAACAAGTGGTACCTGTCGAAATGTTTATGGATTTATTCCCCAATCAATCAATCAATCAATGACTACAAATGTATCAAGACAGGCAATGGCTGCGAGCCTCACCTCAGTGACTTCAGGTCATACAAAAGGACACTTGGAAAACAACCCAAACAGCATCTTTCACACCAACTGACGCCTTGTGGAAAACATACAGCCCTTCCCTGCCTCCAAAATGGCTCCCGACGTAGTGACTACCTTCGACCATCTCCAGCTCGCTCACTAGCTCCGGCTGTGTGTTCGTGTGACCTGTGTTTTCCCACAAGGCATCAACACTGCTAAATTAAAATTGGTTTTTGAAACCGACAAAAACACATGTAAAGAAAAATCTCACTCCAGCACAACATATTTCGATTTATCTTCTACAATAAATACAGTCTTACAAAAGCAAAAACGTCTGAACACACATTCAGTATAAACACAGATAGACAGGACACTGGGTTTACAGAGTAAAAGGTGGAAACTAACTAGATGCCGTTGGGGGTTATCTAGTCCAAACTGACCCAGTCTTACATTTAACATAAAGGGCAGCAGACAGAATGGCATCCTACACCCTATATAGTGCACTAGTGTATCCCTATATAGTGCACTAGTGTATCCCTATATAGTGCACTAGTGTATCCCTATATAGTGCACTAGTGTATCCCTATATAGTGCACTAGTGTATCCCTATATAGTGCACTAGTGTATTATTATAGGGGATAGGGTGCCATTTGGGATGAAACCTCAACACACCCTTCAAAAAAACACTGGTTTGCTCATTGTGTTATCCCCGGAGAGCCGACAGAGCAGGTAGAAAAATACTCCCAGTTCATACTAGTCTTCCACACTTTTGTTAAATCACTTCCCTCGCCCACACAACCAGAAGAACCAAATCATAACAGTAGATCGCTATCCGTTAAATATCTGAAATTTTTAAAAACAGCCTGCTTCCCTCTCCTCCTCCTCCTCTTGAATGAAACAATAGCAGCAGTATTCAATCTAGACGGAATGTTACTGAATCCCACAATAACATGAATATGGGTCATTCAACAAGTCTTATGACAGTTAGGAGCAAAACAGTGGAGCCCACTGACCTTTCACAGTCCTACGATGAACCATCTTTTCTAACTTCAACTAAAAATGTGTTGTTACACAACGCATGCAAATAAAACATTTCATTTCAACGGGCACATGTCCGGTGTGTCTCTGTGTGACAGTACGTCTAGTCCAGGTGTCTCTCTGTACGTCTAGTCCAGGTGTCTCTCTGTACGTCTAGTCCAGGTGTGTCTCTGTGTGACAGTGCGTCTAGTCCAGGTGTGTCTGTGTGACAGTGCGTCTAGTCCAGGTGTGTCTCTGTGTGACAGTGCGTCTAGTCCAGGTGTCTCTCTGTACGTCTAGTCCAGGTGTGTCTCTGTGTGACAGTGCGTCTAGTCCAGGTGTGTCTGTGTGACAGTGCGTCTAGTCCAGGTGTGTCTCTGTGTGACAGTACGTCTAGTCCAGGTGTGTCTCTGTGTGACAGTACGTCTAGTCCAGGTGTCTCTCTGTACGTCTAGTCCAGGTGTGTCTCTGTGTGACAGTACGTCTAGTCCAGGTGTCTCTCTGTGTGACAGTACGTCTAGTCCAGGTGTGTCTCTGTGTGACAGTACGTCTAGTCCAGGTGTGTCTCTGTGTGACAGTACGTCTAGTCCAGGTGTCTCTCTGTACGTCTAGTCCAGGTGTGTCTCTGTGTGACAGTACGTCTAGTCCAGGTGTGTCTCTGTGTGACAGTACGTCTAGTCCAGGTGTCTCTGTGTGACAGTACGTGTAGTCCAGGTGTGTGAAGATAAAAGGGGTATAGGACTGGGGTAGAGGGGTATAGGACTGGGGTATAGGGGTATAGGACTGGGGTATAGGGGCATAGGACTGGGGTATAGGGGTATAGGACTGGGGTATAGGACTGGGGTATAGGGGTATAGGACTGGGGTAGAGGGGTATAGGACTGGGGTATAGGACTGGGGTATAGGGGTATAGGGCTGGGGTAGAGGGGTATAGGACTGGGATATAGGACTGGGGTATAGGGGTATAGGACTGGGGTATAGGGGCATAGGACTGGGGTATAGGGGCATAGGACTGGGGTATAGGGGTATAGGACTGGGGTATAGGGGCATAGGACTGGGGTATAGGGGCATAGGACTGGGGTATAGGGGTATAGACTGGGGTAGGTATAGGGGGTATCATAGGACTGGGGTATAGGGTATAGGACTGGGTATGACTGGTAAGGGGTATAGGACTGGGGTATAGGGGTATAGGACTGGGGTATAGGACTGGGGTATAGGGGTATAGGACTGGGGTATAGGGGTATAGGACTGGTGGGTATAGGACTGGGGTATAGGACTGGGGTATGGGGCTAGTATAGGGTATAGGACTGGGGTAAAGGGGTATAGGACTGGGGTAGGTTAGGACTGGGGTAATGGGGTCTAGGGTATAGGGGTATAGGACTGGGGTATAGGGTATAGGACTGGGGTAGAGGGGTATAGGACTGGGGTATATGGGGTATAGGACTGGGGTATAGGGGTATAGGCTGGGGTATAGGGGAATATAGGACTGGGGTAGAGGGGTATAGGACTGGGGTATAGGGGTATAGGACTGGGGTATAGGGGTATAGGACTGGGTAAGGGTATAGGACTGGGGTATAGGACTGGGGTAGAGGGTATAGGACTGGGTATATGGGGTATAGGACTGGGTAAGGGGTATAGGACTGGGGTAGAGGGGTATAGGACTGGGGTTAGAGGGTATAGGACTGGGGTATAGACTGGGGATAGAGGGTATAGGACTGGGGTATAGGGGTATAGGACTGGGGTAGAGGGGTATAGGGGTAACTGGGGTAGGGTATAGGACTGGGGTATAGGACTGGGGTATAGGGGTATAGGACGGTGGAGGGGTATAGGGTATAGGACTGGGGTATAGACTGGGGTATAGGGGTATAGGACTGGGGTAAGGGGTATAGGACTGGTAGGGTATAGGACTGGGGTATAGGGGATAGGACTGGGGTATAGGTACTGGGTATAGGGGTATAGGACTGGGGTATAGGCTGAGGGTATAGGGTATAGGGCTAGGGGTAAGGGGTATAGGACTGGGGTATAGGGGTATAGGACGGGGTAGGGGTATAGGGCATAGGACTGGGTGTATAGGACTGGGGTATAGGGGTATAGGACTGGGGTATAGGGGCTAGGGGATAATGGGGTATAGGAACTGGGGTATAGGGTATAGGACTGGGGTATAGGGGTATAGGATAGGGGTGTAGGGTATCTGGGTATAGGGGATAGGACTGGGGTATAGGGGCTAGGACTGGGGTATAGGGGTATAGGACTGGGGTAAGGGGCTAGGGGTATAGGACTGGGGTAATAGGGGTATAGGACTGGGGTATAGGGGTATAGGACTGGGGTAGAGGGGTATAGGGGTATAGGCTAGGGTATAGGGGTATAGGACTGGGGTAGAGGGGTATAGGACTGGGGTATAGGGGCATAGGACTGGGGTATAGGACTGGGGTATAGGGGCATAGGACTGGGGTATAGGGGCATAGGACTGGGGTATAGGGGTATAGGACTGGGGTAGAGGGGTATAGGACTGGGGTATAGGACTGGGGTATAGGGGTATAGGACTGGGGTATAGGGGTCTAGGACTGGGGTATAGGGGTATAGGACTGGGGTATAGGGGTATAGGACTGGGGTATAGGGGCATAGGACTGGGGTAGAGGGGCTAGGGGTATAGGACTGGGGTATAGGGGTCTAGGACTGGGGTATAGGGGTATAGGACTGGGGTAGAGGGGCTAGGAGAATAGGACTGAGATCTAGGTTTGGACCTGTGGTTAGTTGATAGGGAGAAGGGTTGAGTGGAGTTTGAGCCTGTATCCCCCCCCCCCCCCCAGGGGCGAGTCCCCCCCCCAGGGGCGAGTCCCCTAAACTTTCTTCTCCTCCAGTATGTTGTGCAGTTCATCAGCGTCCTCTGCTGTCTTCACCCTGATGAGCATGGCCACAGGGTTGGTAGGGTTGCTGTGGTCCACCACAGGGTTAGGAACACATACCACCATAACGTTGTTCTTCCCCATCCTGGAACACGGTATGGAGGCCTGGACCATGATGTTCAACAGGATGTTACCTGGAGGAGAGAGAGAGAGGGTTGTTATTGACGAGGCCTGGACCATGATGTTCAACAGGATGTTCCCTGGAGGAGAGAGAGAGAGGGTTGTTATTGACGAGGCCTGGACCATGATGTTCAACAGGATGTTACCTGGAGGAGAGAGAGAGAGGGTTGTTATTGACGAGGCCTGGACCATGATGTTCAACAGGATGTTACCTGGAGGAGAGAGAGAGAGGGTTGTTATTGACGAGGCCTGGACCATGATGTTCAACAGGATGTTACCTGGAGGAGAGAGAGAGAGGGTTGTTATTGACGAGGCCTGGACCATGATGTTCAACAGGATGTTACCTGGAGGAGAGAGAGAGAGGGTTGTTATTGACGAGGCCTGGACCATGATGTTCAACAGGATGTTCCCTGGAGGAGAGAGAGAGAGGGTTGTTATTGACGAGGCCTGGACCATGATGTTCAACAGGATGTTACCTGGAGGAGAGAGAGAGAGGGTTGTTATTGACGAGGCCTGGACCATGATGTTCAACAGGATGTTACCTGGAGGAGAGAGAGGGTTGTTATTGACGAGGCCTGGACCATGATGTTCAACAGGATGTTACCTGGAGGAGAGAGAGAGAGGGTTGTTATTGACGAGGCCTGGACCATGATGTTCAACAGGATGTTACCTGGAGGAGAGAGAGAGAGGGTTGTTATTGACGAGGCCTGGACCATGATGTTCAACAGGATGTTACCTGGAGGAGAGAGAGAGAGGGTTGTTATTGACGAGGCCTGGACCATGATGTTCAACAGGATGTTACCTGGAGGAGAGAGAGAGAGGGTTGTTATTGACGAGGCCTGGACCATGATGTTCAACAGGATGTTACCTGGAGGAGAGAGAGAGAGGGTTGTTATTGACGAGGCCTGGACCATGATGTTCAACAGGATGTTACCTGGAGGAGAGAGAGAGAGGGTTGTAGGACCTCTAGGGCCTGTAGGACCTGCCTTGTTGATAGTGCTGTTAAGAAGGTAGAGCAGCGCTTTATTATGGACAGACTTCTCCCCATCTTAGCTACTGTTGCATCAATATGTTTTGACCATGACAGTTTACAATCTAGGGTTACTCCAAGCAGTTTAGTCACCTCAACTTGCTCAATTTCCACATGATTTATTACAAGAGTTAGTTGATGTTTACACGGGGGAAATTCATTTGTTCTGACATTCTATACAAAAAAAAAAAAAAAAAAGACATTAAAAACAACATGTGAGTCCACAATTCTTGGGTGACATTAATGATTCACAGTGTGAGTAACCCTTCTCCACTGGGGAGGGATGAGACTGCAGATATCCCCAGTACTGTAATACCTCCGTGTGGCCACTAGAGGGAGGATAGGAGTGTTTAGTAAACTCCTCACGTCGTCTACAGCTCCACAGCAGCAGCCGAAACAGGAGACAGAAGCACCAGGACACAGAAACCCACCAGGGGCTGGTCTCCCCAGCACAGCCTTAGTATTGGGCCAGCAGGCAAAAACACTTAAAATCGGTAGAGATTTGTCAAACCGTGAGGTGCATAAAGTGAATCGGACGTCATGATTGCAAAGATAACAAATTAAAAACCCTCCTTATCCTATTGCTACATTTAGAAAAAGACAACAAATATGCTGATGTCATTTTACAGGAGCCTCCGTAGTGTACATCACACAATGTTTTGCGGATATTTCTACATACAGTTGTCAAATATATTGGCACCCTTGCATTTTACAACGGAGCACAACGTTCTCTTCTCAATACTGGTTGAATGGCTATTTTTTAACCCTGTAGGCACCTGCAATTTACCACAGGCAGCGTTTCCCCTAGGATTTATTTCAGCAGCGGTGGCAACGGTAGCGGGGCATTGCTTCTAGTGGGGGGTGCACTGCCACTAGCATTAGCATTAGCCCAACGACATGCTAGGTGTTCCATAGACTTACAATCATTGAGCCGACGACGACACATTTAAAAAGCGCCTCCGCAGAAATATCTCATTTTTTGCAGCGGTGGCAACAATGAATGAATATAAGGGGGAACGCCAGCAGGTGAGAAATGGAAAACAACTTGCCTACAACCAAAATAATTGATTTCCCCTCTACCAGTTAGTCTAGTCATGGTCACTAGGTAAGGTTTAAACAGATTTAATAAAAAAGGTAAGGTTTGATAAGGTTTAATAACGTACCCAGGTTAGTGTCAGCGCGGACTATCAGCTGTGTCTTTCCCTCTGGGGTTGTTTTCAGATGCAGCGTTCCAACTCCCTTCTCCTTGAACTCAGTCTCTTTTTTATAGAACAGTTTACACCTGGAACACACATGGGATTCACATGGAAGAAACATTTCTGAAGAATATTGGAAGTGTGTAGTAACAAATACAAAACAGCAAAGCATGCGAAAGAATTGAATAATTTACTGTTTCATAAAGCCTAGAATAATTGTACATTTCGTTACGTTATCTAATATATATAGCCAGTCTTTTCCAGCGAGTCGAAAAGGTTTTGAAGCAACGCACCGTTAAAATATAACACTGCAGAATGTTTGGCGAATGTGAATCATGATACATTCCATTGGATAATTTCCAAGACGTATCTATAAACCAGATCCTACAGATTGACATAACCCTATTTTAAGATGTTTCTGGAAAATGCTGGAAACCCAGACATACTTCTTAGAGTAGAAGGCATCCGACTCCTTGATCTCTTGGACTTCAACTTTGGGTGGTTCATCAGACTCCTCTCCATTCTCCTCTACAGGGTGACAAGGAAGAGGGACGGACAGACGTTACGGAGAGCAGGCAACATTGTCCAATCTTATTTCATTTTTTTTAATAACCAAATGTAAAGCTTAAACAAATAATATTATAATATAATATTATGCCATTTAGCAGACGCTTTTATCCAAAGCGACTTACAGTCATGTGTGCATACATTTTTGTGTATGGGTGGTCCCGGGGATCGAACCCACTACCCTGGCGTTACAAGCGCCATGCTCTACCAATTGAGCTACAGAGGACCACAAAAACACATGGTCTAAATCCACTTTACACTAAAGAATATTTACAACATTGACTATTATCCAGAATGACTTTCCATGTGAGCTCAGCCCGCTGAAAGTGACATCTAATAAAAAGAGGTTTAATCTCCGGGTTTAAAAACCAATACAACCTTCAAATATCATTAACGCCAGATAAAATGGTAAAACATTATGGTTTACCAATATTGCAGAGTGAAGGTTTATCATAATTCTGATGAAATGTACTAAACTATCATCATAGTTGTTTTTCCAACATGTTTCACAAAACAATGTTGACAATAAACCAGGAAATGTAAATAGTATAAAAGTATTCCTTCTACCCCCCGAAAATATATATAAAAAATAAAATAAAAATAATTGTAAAGTGGTTATCCCACTGGCTATAAGGTGAATGCACCAATTTGTAAGTCGCTCTGGATAAGAGCGTCTGCTAAATGACGTAAATGTAAATGTAATATTTGTCTCACCATTTTTTATATTTTTTATAATGATTTAGCCTACAGAAAATATATTCATGAATCTAGTCAATAAAAACTATTTATCCTCTGTCTGTATTCTGGCTATGTGTTGTCCATCACTAGCAGTACCATATAACCAGGTAACATTCTGGGTGTATCCATCACTAGCAGCACCATATAACCAGGTAACATTCTGGGTGTATCCATCACTAGCAGCACCATATAACCAGGTAACATTCTGGGTGTGGTGTCCATCACTAGCAGCACCATATAACCAGGTAACATTCTGGGTGTGTCCATCACTAGCAGCACCATATAACCAGGTAACATTCTGGGTGTGTTGTCCATCACTAGCAGCACCATATAACCAGGTAACATTCTGGGTGTGTCCATCACTAGCAGCACCATATAACCAGGTAACATTCTGGGTGTGGTGTCCATCACTAGCAGCACCATATAACCAGGTAACATTCTGGGTGTGTCCATCACTAGCAGCACCATATAACCAGGTAACATTCTGGGTGTGTCCATCACTAGCAGCACCATATAACCAGGTAACATTCTGGGTGTGTCCATCACTAGCAGCACCATATAACCAGGTAACATTCTGGGTGTGTTGTCCATCACTAGCAGCACCATATAACCAGGTAACATTCTGGGTGTGGTGTCCATCACTAGCAGCACCATATAACCAGGTAACATTCTGGGTGTGTTGTCCATCACTAGCAGCACCATATAACCAGGTAACATTCTGGGTGTGTCCATCACTAACAGCACCATATAACCAGGTAACATTCTGGGTGTGGTGTCCATCACTAGCAGCACCATATAACCAGGTAACATTCTGGGTGTGGTGTCCATCACTAGCAGCACCATATAACCAGGTAACATTCTGGGTGTGGTGTCCATCACTAGCAGCACCATATAACCAGGTAACATTCTGGGTGTGTCCATCACTAGCAGCACCATATAACCAGGTAACATTCTGGGTGTGTCCATCACTAGCAGCACCATATAACCAGGTAACATTCTGGGTGTGTTGTCCATCACTAGCAGCACCATATAACCAGGTAACATTCTGGGTGTGTTGTCCATCACTAGCAGCACCATATAACCAGGTAACATTCTGGGTGTGTCCATCACTAGCAGCACCATATAACCAGGTAACATTCTGGGTGTGTCCATCACTAGCAGCACCATATAACCAGGTAACATTCTGGGTGTGTTGTCCATCACTAGCAGCACCATATAACCAGGTAACATTCTGGGTGTGTCCATCACTAGCAGCACCATATAACCAGGTAACATTCTGGGTGTGTTGTCCATCACTAGCAGCACCATATAACCAGGTAACATTCTGGGTGTGTCCATCACTAGCAGCACCATATAACCAGGTAACATTCTGGGTGTGTCCATCACTAGCAGCACCATATAACCAGGTAACATTCTGGGTGTGGTGTCCATCACTAGCAGCACCATATAACCAGGTAACATTCTGGGTGTGTCCATCACTAGCAGCACCATATAACCAGGTAACATTCTGGGTGTGGTGTCCATCACTAGCAGCACCATATAACCAGGTAACATTCTGGGTGTGTCCATCACTAGCAGCACCATATAACCAGGTAACATTCTGGGTGTGTCCATCACTAACAGCACCATATAACCAGGTAACATTCTGGGTGTGTCCATCACTAACAGCACCATATAACCAGGTAACATTCTGGGTGTGTCCATCACTAGCAGCACCATATAACCAGGTAACATTCTGGGTGTGTCCATCACTAGCAGCACCATATAACCAGGTAACATTCTGGGTGTGGTGTCCATCACTAGCAGCACCATATAACCAGGTAACATTCTGGGTGTGGTGTCCATCACTAGCAGCACCATATAACCAGGTAACATTCTGGGTGTGGTGTCCATCACTAGCAGCACCATATAACCAGGTAACATTCTGGGTGTGTCCATCACTAGCAGCACCATATAACCAGGTAACATTCTGGGTGTGTTGTCCATCACTAGCAGCACCATATAACCAGGTAACATTCTGGGTGTGTCCATCACTAGCAGCACCATATAACCAGGTAACATTCTGGGTGTGTTGTCCATCACTAGCAGCACCATATAACCAGGTAACATTCTGGGTGTGGTGTCCATCACTAGCAGCACCATATAACCAGGTAACATTCTGGGTGTGGTGTCCATCACTAGCAGCACCATATAACCAGGTAACATTCTGGGTGTGTCCATCACTAGCAGCACCATATAACCAGGTAACATTCTGGGTGTGTTGTCCATCACTAGCAGCACCATATAACCAGGTAACATTCTGGGTGTGGTGTCCATCACTAGCAGCACCATATAACCAGGTAACATTCTGGGTGTGTTGTCCATCACTAGCAGCACCATATAACCAGGTAACATTCTGGGTGTGTTGTCCATCACTAGCAGCACCATATAACCAGGTAACATTCTGGGTGTGGTGTCCATCACTAGCAGCACCATATAACCAGGTAACATTCTGGGTGTGTCCATCACTAGCAGCACCATATAACCAGGTAACATTCTGGGTGTGTTGTCCATCACTAGCAGTACCATATAACCAGGTAACATTCTGGGTGTGTCCATCACTAGCAGCACCATATAACCAGGTAACATTCTGGGTGTGTTGTCCATCACTAGCAGCACCATATAACCAGGTAACATTCTGGGTGTGTCCATCACTAACAGCACCATATAACCAGGTAACATTCTGGGTGTGGTGTCCATCACTAGCAGCACCATATAACCAGGTAACATTCTGGGTGTGTCCATCACTAGCAGCACCATATAACCAGGTAACATTCTGGGTGTGTCCATCACTAGCAGCACCATATAACCAGGTAACATTCTGGGTGTGTCCATCACTAGCAGCACCATATAACCAGGTAACATTCTGGGTGTGTCCATCACTAGCAGCACCATATAACCAGGTAACATTCTGGGTGTGGTGTCCATCACTAGCAGCACCATATAACCAGGTAACATTCTGGGTGTGTCCATCACTAGCAGCACCATATAACCAGGTAACATTCTGGGTGTGGTGTCCATCACTAGCAGCACCATATAACCAGGTAACATTCTGGGTGTGTCCATCACTAGCAGCACCATATAACCAGGTAACATTCTGGGTGTGGTGTCCATCACTAGCAGCACCATATAACCAGGTAACATTCTGGGTGTGTCCATCACTAGCAGCACCATATAACCAGGTAACATTCTGGGTGTGGTGTCCATCACTAGCAGCACCATATAACCAGGTAACATTCTGGGTGTGTCCATCACTAGCAGCACCATATAACCAGGTAACATTCTGGGTGTGGTGTCCATCACTAGCAGCACCATATAACCAGGTAACATTCTGGGTGTGTCCATCACTAGCAGCACCATATAACCAGGTAACATTCTGGGTGTGTCCATCACTAGCAGCACCATATAACCAGGTAACATTCTGGGTGTGTCCATCACTAGCAGCACCATATAACCAGGTAACATTCTGGGTGTGTTGTCCATCACTAGCAGCACCATATAACCAGGTAACATTCTGGGTGTGTCCATCACTAGCAGCACCATATAACCAGGTAACATTCTGGGTGTGTCCATCACTAGCAGCACCATATAACCAGGTAACATTCTGGGTGTGTTGTCCATCACTAGCAGCACCATATAACCAGGTAACATTCTGGGTGTGTCCATCACTAGCAGCACCATATAACCAGGTAACATTCTGGGTGTGGTGTCCATCACTAGCAGCACCATATAACCAGGTAACATTCTGGGTGTGTTGTCCATCACTAGCAGCACCATATAACCAGGTAACATTCTGGGTGTGTCCATCACTAGCAGCACCATATAACCAGGTAACATTCTGGGTGTGTTTAAGTTATGTACTTGGTGAATTATGGGGATTCTGATTACTATTAAACCCCTTCAGTTGAAGTAGTAACACAAGGAATAAAATCAAATACACAAGAATGGATTTATATACAGGAAGTACCAGATCACTGTGGAGCTATATACAGGAAGTACCAGATCACTGTGGAGCTATATACAGGAAGTACCAGATCAATGTGGAGCTATATACAGGAAGTACCAGATCAATGTGGAGCTATATACAGGAAGTACCAGATCAATGTGGAGCTATATACAGGAAGTACCAGATCAATGTGGAGCTATATACAGGAAGTACCAGATCACTGTGGAGCTATATACAGGAAGTACCAGATCAATGTGGAGCTATATACAGGAAGTACCAGATCAATGTGGAGCTATATACAGGAAGTACCAGATCAATGTGGAGCTATATACAGGAAGTACCAGATCAATGTGGAGCTATATACAGGAAGTACCAGATCAATGTGGAGCTATATACAGGAAGTACCAGATCAATGTGGAGCTATATACAGGAAGTACCAGATCAATGTGGAGCTATATACAGGAAGTACCAGATCAATGTGGAGCTATATACAGGAAGTACCAGATCAATGTGGAGCTATATACAGGAAGTACCAGATCAATGTGGAGCTATATACAGGAAGTACCAGATCAATGTGCAGCTATATACAGGAAGTACCAGATCAATGTGGAGCTATATACAGGAAGTACCAGATCAATGTGGAGCTATATACAGGAAAGTACCAGATCAATGTGGAGCTATATACAGGAAGTACCAGATCACTGTGGAGCTATATACAGGAAGTACCAGATCAATGTGGAGCTATATACAGGAAGTACCAGATAAATGTGGAGCTATATACAGGAAGTACCAGATCAATGTGGAGCTATATACAGGAAGTACCAGTACCAGATCAATGTGGAGACGTACGAGGTATATGAGGTAGATATGTACATGAAGGCAGGGTAAAGTGACTAAGCATCAGGATAGATAATAATAAGGTATATGAGGTAGATATGGACATGAAGGCAGGGTAAAGTGACTAGGCATCAGGATAGATAATAATAAGGTATATGAGGTAGATATGTACGTGAAGGCAGGGTAAAGTGACTAGGCATCAGGATAGATAATAATAAGGTATTTGAGGTAGATATGTACATGAAGGCAGGGTAAAGTGACTAGGCATCAGGATAGATAATAATAAGGTATTTGAGGTAGATATGTACATGAAGGCAGGGTAAAGTGACTAGGCATCAGGATAGATAATAATAAGGTATTTGAGGTAGATATGTACATGAAGGCAGGGTAATGTGACTAGGCATCAGGATAGATAATAATAAGGTATTTGAGGTAGATATGTACATGAAGGCAGGGTAAAGTGACCAGGCATCAGGATAGATAATAATAAGGTATTTGAGGTAGATATGTACATGAAGGCAGGGTAAAGTGACTAGGCATCAGGATAGATAATAATAAGGTATATGAGGTAGATATGTACATGAAGGCAGGGTAATGTGACTAGGCATCAGGATAGATAATAATAAGGTATTTGAGGTAGATATGTACATGAAGGCAGGGTAAAGTGACTAGGCATCAGGATAGATAATAATAAGGTATTTGAGGTAGATATGTACATGAAGGCAGGGTAAAGTGACTAGGCATCAGGATAGATCATAATAAGGTATTTGAGGTAGATATGTACATGAAGGCAGGGTAAAGTGACTAGGCATCAGGATAGATAATAATAAGGTATTTGAGGTAGATATGTACATGAAGGCAGGGTAATGTGACTAGGCATCAGGATAGATAATAATAAGGTATTTGAGGTAGATATGTACATGAAGGCAGGGTAAAGTGACTAGGCATCAGGATAGATAATAATAAGGTATATGAGGTAGATATGTCCATGAAGGCAGGGTAAAGTGACTAGGCATCAGGATAGATAATACGGTATTTGAGGTAGATATGTACATGAAGGCAGGGTAAAGTGACTAGGCATCAGGATAGATAATAATAAGGTATTTGAGGTAGATATGTACATGAAGGCAGGGTAAAGTGACTAGGCATCAGGATAGATAATAATAAGGTATTTGAGGTAGATATGTACATGAAGGCAGGGTAAAGTGACTAGGCAGGTATGACTAGTATAGAATATCTAGTCACCTGATATCATAGCTGTTAGGACAGTATTACATGAGTAATATTTCTATTTCCCTACATACATTAGACCTTCCATATCGTACCTGTTGTCTGGGTGGGGACAGCCTCAGCCTTGGCCCCACTGAAGGAGAAGCTAGGAAGAGAGGTGCCTCCAAACAGGGAGGAGGAGGAGGAGAAGGAGACGTTAGGAGATCCTCCAGAGCTCAGAGCCTTCTGGCCCAAGTTAAAGCTGATGCCAGCGGGGAGCGGAGCAGGAGCGGCGCTGGAGCTTTTCTCCGAGGCTGGAGCGGTGCCGTCCTTGCTGAAGGAGAAGAGTGGAGCTGTGGTTGCCGAGCCGACGGTACTAGAGGAGGGGGGTGTGGTACCGGCTGGCTGCTTCTCCTCCGGTGCTGCTGCCTTGCTACCGCTCGCCGAGCCCCCAGCCACAGCGCCACTCCCTCCAGCCCCTCCGTACTTCTTGTCGATGCTGGCCAGGTGCTTCTCATAGTCCCTGAAGATGGGGTTGAGGTCGCAGAGAGGGTTTCTGTTGACGTGCTTGGTGATCCAGTCCCTGACAGAGCAGTTGAGCGCTGTGAGCTGCTTCCTGTATTCCTGGTTGTCAGAGGAGGTACAGGAGCCGGAGCTCAGAGACAGACTGGAAACCACGGGGGAGGAACCGTTAGGCTGCTGCTCTGTGATGTCACCGCTGGAGGGGGGGCCGCTGAATGTTAATGAACCTAGGAGAGGGGGATGAGAGAGAGGAGGAGAGGATGAGAGGGGGATAGAGAGGAGGGGGATGAGAGGGGGATAGAGAGGAGGGGGATGAGAGGGTGATGGAGAGGAGGAGAGGGGGATGAGAGAGAAGAGGAGAGGAGAGGAGAGGAGAGGAGAGGAGAGGAGAGGAGAGGAGAGGAGAGGAGAGGAGAGGAGAGGAGAGGAGAGGAGAGGAGAGGAGAGGAGAGGAGAGGAGGAGAGGATGAGCAGGTGAAGAGGACAAGAGAAAACAGAAGGAGAAGGTGAGTGCTACAGCAGAGAGAAGCCTTAAGGCTTCAGCATGCGCGGTCGGCTGTTGCCTAGCCAACCCAACCAGTGTTCCCATACCTTCCACCTTCGCTTGAAAAACCACTAAAGCGGCAATAGTACCGTTTGTCCACCTTGAGACGCCGTAGCCAGTATAGTCACAATTAATCTAAGATAACAAGAAATACGTCATACATTTTTACATCTAACTAGGATGTTTGGTGCAGCATTTCTCAAGCGAAAGAATGTGCACGAAAACTAGCCTATCATTGAAGAATCCCTACTGTTGACCAATCACCCACGACTTTGGCTTGCGAACTTCGTCTTGACTCGAGAAATGTTTGTGTGCACAAACAGCCGAAAAAAACCCTAGCCGAAGACCAAAACATCCGAAAATGTTGTCATAATATATGCAGGAACTGTTTCAGATGGGAGGCATGCGGACGCCTTCAGTAGCCCTGAGTTTAACGGTAGAGAAGGAGAGAGACTGACTGAATACTGGAGCATCTCTGTTCTGTCATTCCACCCTCAGGTACCACACTGGGAGAGGAGCCGACACACTGATTCAGCTCCATTAGCCTCTAATACCAGATCCACACAGAGCCAACCCCACTGATTCAGCTCCATTAGCCTCTAATACCAGATCCACACAGAGCCAACCCCACTGATTCAGCTCCATTAACCTATAATACCAGATCCACACAGAGCCAACCCCACTGATTCAGCTCCATTAGCCTCTAATACCAGATCCACACAGAGCCAACCCCACTGATTCAGCTCCATTAGCCTCTAATACCAGATCCACACAGAGCCAACCCCACTGATTCAGCTCCATTAGCCTCTAATACCAGATCCACACAGAGCCAACCCCACTGATTCAGCTCCATTAACCTATAATACCAGATCCACACAGAGCCAACCCCACTGATTCAGCTCCATTAGCCTCTAATACCAGATCCACACAGAGCCAACCCCACTGATTCAGCTCCATTAGCCTCTAATACCAGATCCACACAGAGCCAACCCCACTGATTCAGCTCCATTAGCCTCTAATACCAGATCCACACAGAGCCAACCCCACTGATTCAGCTCCATTAGCCTCGAATACCAGATCCACACAGAGCCAACCCCACTGATTCAGCTCCATTAGCCTCTAATACCAGATCCACACAGAGCCAACCCCACTGATTCAGCTCCATTAGCCTCTAATACCAGATCCACACAGAGCCAACCCCACTGATTCAGGTCCATTAGCCTCTAATACCAGATCCACACAGAGCCAACCCCACTGATTCAGCTCCATTAGCCTCTAATGCCAGATCCACACAGAGCCAACCCCACTGATTCAGCTCCATTAGCCTCTAATACCAGATCCACACAGAGCCAACCCCACTGATTCAGCTCCATTAGCCTCTAATACCAGATCCACACAGAGCCAACCCCACTGATTCAGCTCCATTAACCTCTAATACCAGATCCACACAGAGCCAATCCCACTGATTCAGCTCCATTAACCTCTAATACCAGATCCCTCAACTCCATTTCATATCAACACCGGGCCACTTTCACAAGTTATCCTCCAGGACTAGCACTTTAACTGTCCAACGGTTAGAAATGCAGCCTCTTACCAGGTGTGGTGGTCTTGGTGGCAGCAGGCGAGGCGAACCCGGTGAAGGCTGGAGTGACGGGTGTAACACTGTTCCCATTGGACAGTTTGAACCCTGCCCCATTCCCGAACCCGGAGAAGGCCGTGATTCCCCCCGTGGCTGGCCCGGTTCCCAACGGAGGGGCCAGGGAGAACCCTTTAAACCCTTTGAACGTTCCTCCACTCTGCCCCTGCAGGCAGCACAGACAGGAAGGAAACAAATTATTCACTCCTATCTCCCTCCATTAGGCTACATCACCACTCTTTAAAAAGGGAGTTCTGGCATCGAAGGAAGGAAGCACTGCTTGACTTGGGTTAAAGTAAAGCTGGAAGGAAGCAAGCGATGCTTGACTTGGGTTAAAGTAAAGCTGGAAGGAAGGAAGCAATGCTTGAATTGGGTTAAAGTAAAGCTGGAAGGAAGAACTGCTTGAATTGGGTTAAAGTAAAGCTGGAAGGAAGGAAGCAATGTTTGAAGTGGGTTAAAGTAAAGCTGGAAGGAAGAACTGCTTGAATTGGGTTAAAGTTAAGCTGGAAGGAAGAACTGCTTGACTTGGGTTAATGTAAAGCTGGAAGGAAGAACTGCTTGAATTGGGTTAAAGTAAAGCTGGGTTGTGTTCAGAACTTGTGCAATAAGAAACCCTTGTTTCTGTTTTCTTCTAATGAACATTACCCAGGTTTCCACCTGACAGACTAAGACAGTATGCATGTGCGCTAGTTCCCACGGTGTTGGTTAGTTAAATTAGTCTATAAAAACTATGTGGCCATTAAGGCCAGATTCTAGCCTACCTCTGAACCAGCAGTTAGACACACAGACAGCATGCATGTCAGTTAGCCAGTTAGCCTACCTCTGAACCAGCAGCTAGACACACAGACAGCATGCATGTCAGTTAGCCAGGTAGCCTACCTCTGAACCAGCAGTTAGACACACAGACAGCATGCATGTCAGTTAGCCTACCTCTGAACCAGCAGTTAGACACACAGACAGCATGCATGTCAGTTAGCCAGGTAGCCTACCTCTGAACCAGCAGTTAGACACACAGACAGCATGCATGTCAGTTAGCCAGGTAGCCTACCTCTGAACCAGCAGCTAGACACACAGACAGCATGCATGTCAGTTAGCCAGGTAGCCTACCTCTGAACCAGCAGTTAGACACACAGACAGCATGCATGTCAGTTAGCCAGGTAGCCTACCTCTGAACCAGCAGCTAGACACACAGACAGCATGCATGTCAGTTAGCCAGGTAGCCTACCTCTGAACCAGCAGTTAGACACACAGACAGCATGCATGTCAGTTAGCCTACCTCTGAACCAGCAGTTAGACACACAGACAGCATGCATGTCAGTTAGCCAGGTAGCCTACCTCTGAACCAGCAGTTAGACACACAGACAGCATGCATGTCAGTTAGCCAGGTAGCCTACCTCTGAACCAGCAGTTAGACACACAGACAGCATGCATGTCAGTTAGCCAGGTAGCCTACCTCTGAACCAGCAGCTAGACACACAGACAGCATGCATGTCAGTTAGCCAGGTAGCCTACCTCTGAACCAGCAGCTAGACACACAGACAGCATGCATGTCAGTTAGCCAGGTAGCCTACCTCTGAACCAGCAGCCCGACGCTTGGCCTTCTTGATGGGCCTGCTCTTCATGACATCATCACTAGCGATGGAAAACGTCCCTGCCTGCTGAACACCATCACAACACTATTAGAGATAGGGTCAAAATATGTACAACAAATCCTTACTCTGCAATATAGTCCAGGCAATGTGTGCAAAGTTTTGGGTGAAATTCACATATCGGCTGGACTAATAGTTTTTTTAAACATTTTCCTGCAACTACAAGGATGATTCTAGAACGTTGAATCAACATGTTGATTTGACAAGCTTCTTTGTAACTGTATTTACTTAGGGCTGGCACAATTGCTGTATAGCCGTGTAACTGACGGTTATAGATGAAGACCTTCATGAAAATAAAATAAACAGTCATAACCGGTAAAAATAAATAAAAATAAAATAAAAAACTTGCTGACTGAAGATGGGGTGGCCGGGAATTTGTGCAGTTGAGTCAGTTTCTACGGTAACATGGCCTTAGCATGATGAAACTGTTGCTTCTTGCTGAAACAAGCAACAGACGATTCTTTGGTTGCCACAATGCAGCAGCACATAGAAATGGAAGGAATAGAACGGGGCTTGGACCTTCTAACCCTGGTCATTTGACTGGTAAACTCATGGGTACACTCGCAATGGCTGCCTGGTATTGTGATGCAATCGTTTCCATAGTAATGTAGAACGTTCACTAAAATGATGTTAACTGATGTGGCTCAAGCAATGGAATGTATTATTTGTAACGTCTGTTGAGTTGAATCAACAAATAACAGCACAGGGAACACTTCCTGCTTTTACTTCCTGCTTTGCTCCTAGGTTAAAAAAATACAAGGTTACAACAACGTAATAATTCCATGCGGAAGCGTTCGAACATAAACAAATTCATGGGACCAGCTCCGTTGAGAACTGCTAGCGCTGTTGCTAACTAGCAACGCTGGTCCCATGAATTGCAGAGTTACGGGATATTAGAACCCCATTGTCTTAACCTTGTAAACTTCAACCTAGATGTTAGCAAGCTGGCTAGACGGCTGTTGCATTAGCATAACATTATATTTTTGTTCAACAACCGTATGATCTGCTTCAGCCCGCTTGCCTTCTGCCTAGGCAGCGTAGCTACAACGCTTGAGCTGGTCCCACGGTTGATTCGGAGCGGTAGAACCTCAGCATTATTGTGACTCCGTTGTCTTAACCTTTCCCCATTTTTCAACCTAGCTTTGCTTCTATGGGGACACTCAAAATGGCAGCCAGTCCACCCATTATGACACCAGCCGTTCTATTCATTCTATTTCTATGTTAGCACATGCGGTCAGGAGCAGAGCAGAGGCGAAAATGGGTGTTTAAAATAAAACAAAAAACGCTACTTATTCCCGAGACCTCTGTCATTTGGCTGGCTACAGTGATCCAAAACGCCATGACCTATCCAACCAGGTCTTTAGCTCCTTCTGAGTATCCCCTCTATGCACAACACTGCCCAGATAACTGTTTTTACAACACAACGCATGTTGTATCTATTGGATTATCATATACTGGGATGCTGAAACTATTGAAACAGCCAACAACAGAAAGGGAGACTAATACTTTCTACTACTAGGCAAACGTGTGAAAGGCTAACCCCTGGACAGGTGCCTGCAGGGCTGTGTATTATTTATACAGTCTGTAGCACTATCAGTGAGGCTGTAGTAACATGGTACAGCAAGCCCACCTCCTCTCCTTCATCCTCCTGATCCCAGTTCCTGTCGGTCAGCTCTTTGTCAGCGATCCTCTTCGCCATCACAACGCTGCTCTCTGGAAGACGACACAAGAGACCCGTCAACACACAAATGATTCAACTGTGATAATTAAAAGATACTTCAAAAATGGTCTGGTTATTTTGTGAGGCCAGTGGTACATGATAAAAGTCTACTGTAAACAAATACAATATAGTATAAACACTAGAGAATTTCAGTAACAATATTTCAACATCAGGGACCTGGACTAACTAATTAACTACAGTAAACAGCAAACTAAGTTAACTACAGTAACTAGCTAATTAAGGCGAGTGCTTTTCTTATGTCCTGTTAGATTGAGTTGATGTAGCTAGCTATTAGTAGGTAGCTACTGTTGATACTGACTTAATTCACAAACTGTTGGACAAGAGGTGAGAGATGAGGACAAAAGAGCACAGATATGTTCTTGTTTGGTGAATAGTTATGGGCTGCTAATTCTTGATTCTGAAATATAAACAAAGGTAACTTTAGCTTGCAACATTAAGATGGCTAAATGCCTGGTAGTAGCTAGCTATATTGAATACTAGTTAGCTAGCTAGCTAAGTAACGTTAGCATACTATTGAGTCCGTATTTTCTCTTCCGGCTAAGGATAATTTGGCTAACCATCTGTGGGAGGACTTCCTTTCCCTAATGTTAGCTAACTCTAAAACGTGTGTAAACGTTCAAAAGACAAAAGTAGCTAGCCAACTAAAGTTGGCGAACATATTGATGCATGTAGCAAGAACGTGCGTTGTCCATTTAGCTAGCACGCTAGCTAGTTCGCTAACCAATTTAACAAGTTTTCTTTTTGAGGTTATGTTCTCGGTACTTTTTTTAGCCACCGTCCGTGCAGAGTAACTTTAATCAATAAGATAAGAGTAAGTAAATAAATAATAAAATAAGAGTTAACGTCAATCATTTGAAACGCTAGCCTAACAACCACGAAGTCTCACTGCTAGCGATGTTGCTAGGCTAGTTAGCTAACTAGCTAGCTACTGCTCCGATGTCATTGAATATAAAAGAAACATACCTTTTCCCGAATTAAATGTTCGATAACTACCCCTTGATAGTAAAACAATTCCAAATGTTACTAAACTTTGAATAATGGCTGGGTGTCCGAACAGCGAGGAAGAGGCGAAGCGAGAGGGTTTACTTCCGCCCAAAATCTGTCCACGAAAATAAAACCACCACAAAATTAGGATTTTTTTTTTTTAATGGCGGTCAATGAGTGTCGAATTTGGTCAACCTTAAAATGTAATTGTTAAATTTGGTCGAACAGAAGTTTCGCAATGGTTAGGCTGTTATGAATGCACTGATTTAAGTGGACGCACTTACTGTTTCCGTTATGTTATTCAGACGTGTAGCTATCTGCCCTCTCATTGGCTAGAATGGTCCCACCTGATCTCGCCCGTTCTATACACCTCAAGACTTCGTTTACACGCACACAATAATGCGATTATTGTGGATAATCCGATTCCTGTAATAGTTCGATTAAAATGTTTACATGCTTTGAAAGAAGAACGAATCCCCTAATAATCCTGTTTCCATGGACACATCTGAATACAGGCTACCCGATGGCACTGATAAATGCAATCAAAAATTAAACGTTCTACCACAGCGAACATGTTATTTTTGGGAAGCATATTTGATTCTGAGTTTGTAATGTGAAAACTACTTCTAAGAAGCATAGGTTCAGTTCCAAACTCACTCCACTCCTGCTAAAGAGGGGGGTTCGCTTGGCTGGTGCTAGCACATATAGTTGAAATACACTTCTGGAATGCCGATTGTGTTTACATGTCCTAATAATTCGAAAGATTGCTCAGAAAACCAGATGTTTTAATCGGCGTATGCTTACTTCGATTTTGACCGTACCCCGATAATTAAGATAAACAGAGGAAGGTGTTTACATGACTATTGCGTAATCAGCCTACTGCCATAATTCATTTAATATCAAATTATTAGTGTTTTAAACGAACTATTATATTAACCTGACTATCCACAATAATCGCATTATTGTGTGCTTGTAACCGTGCTCAGTAATGTCGCTTCCTCCCGCCTGTATTCCATCTTTGACGACATGTATTTCCATTGTTAGAGCGGTCACTTGATTATCTTGTCAATATAATAGAACATCTTGGGTTTAGTAAATTTGTCCAAACTCACTCACGCCGCCATTTTACAAAACGGAATCTCTGCGCGCCTCGTCTCCGTTTACCCAATGCGCAAGGGCGAAATATAGGACCATTCATGGGAGTTGCAGTCCTGTGGTAGAGTTTGAGAGTCCTCCAGAGCTCGGTGTCCGGATGTTTAAAAATATTTCTACTGAAATGCCAAAAAATTCCCCAAAGCTCACTTCCTCAAGAGCTTTGTGATGAGGTGATTACACACACACACTCTTAGAGTTGTGCTACACTATATATCTTGTGAGTGAGGCATATGGGGAGTGTACAATATTCATACTATGTATGATTCAAAATGGGCACAGAATGTGCTTGTGATACTTATGGCATGAGACGGTGTCTTTCTCATCAGGGCTGTGGCTTTGGGATTTGGACGCCAAATCATTATGGCTCCAGCCATAGCTAGGCTCCAGAGCTGCAGTAGGCCAAGACTGCAGTAGGCCAGGCTGCAGACTACAGAGGTTCCAGGGACTGGGGGGTAGAATGTCTCCAGTACTGCAGTAGGCCAGGCTGCAGACTACAGGGGTTCCAGGGACTGGGGGGTAGAATGTCTCCAGTACTGCAGTAGGCCAAGACTGCAGTAGGCCAGGCTGCAGACTACAGAGGTTCCAGGGACTGGGGGGTAGAATGTCTCCAGTACTGCAGTAGGCCAGGCTGCAGACTACAGAGGTTCCAGGGACTGGGGGGTAGAATGTCTCCAGTACTGCAGGGGGGGGGTAGAACCGTATAATGGTGCAGAGTTGGGAAGCAGAGCAGATGACTGGTCTCCAAGCCCCAGGATTCTCCAGTCCAGTGCCAGGGCCTTGCCAAGGCAGGAACAGGTGCTGGAGAAAAGGAGGAAGTGAGCTGGGAGCCCTAGCGACAAGAGGAGAGACCCTTGACCAGGGGAAACTTCCCCCCGGAGCAGCTGGCCTGGCCAGGGGAAGATACAGTGGGCCGGGGGCCTTGGGTTGGTTGGGTTGGCAATGCAAGAAAGAGGAAGCTGTTCTAACGTGGAGAGAGCAGGGACAGCAGCTCATTGAGGACAATTCAAGGTCAATGGAAATGTAAGGTGCGTTGAAGCATTTTACAGGGGAGTGAAATGCATGCTGCTGAAGCCAACTACCATGGGTCCTAGCTTGCTGCATTATGCTTTAGTTCCACTATTTCCTTTCCAACTTGATAATGATATTACATTTTGTCTTACCGGTATTTCAGAGTTCCAGTGAAGTGCATTAGGTTCAGACATCCATAGAGGGCCTTGGTAGGCTATTCTCCAGCCCAGGAAGGAGGGGCGTAGATGGGGTAACAAAAGGAGGCCCTCTGCCTGCCTGCTGGGTGGAGGAGATTACCAGCCAGGCTGACAAAATGGAGGGGCCCTACTGGGCACTATGGGGGGACCCCCTCCATAGGCAGGTTAAGAGCCACACACACGCGCGCGCGCACACACACACGCACGCACGCACACGCACAGCCAATAGGCATGGTAGGGTAGCCTGATCAGGGCTGACAGGTTCAATAGGTTTCAGATGTTTAGATGGGAGACTTCAGAGCTGGTAGAATCAAAGGCTTGTTATTCCCTGGACAGACAGAGCCTGTATCGATCACTATGAGAGGACGTCAGACCGCAGTGATTATCTCCCGATGAGGTTCTGATTCTAGCATGGCATCAACACATCAGGACAAGGACAATACTGTTCAACCACAGGTCTGTTATGTCAGAGCATTCTTCAGTCGGGTAGGAAGAATTGAAATTGGAAATACAGCTAAATCTGGTACAATATTTAAGGTATACAACTTCTTTCAACCACATAATTCCATATAAAACACTATAATGAATATAGTGAACTGAGGACTCCTGAGTGGCGCAGTGGTCTAAGGCACTGCATCGCAGTGCTAACTGTGCCACTAGAGATCCTGGTTCGAATCCAGGCTCTGTCGCAGCCGGCCGCGACCGGGAGACTCATGGGCGGCGCACAATTGGCCCAGCGTCGTCCAGGGTAGGGGAGGGAATGGCCGGCAGGGATGTAGCTCAGTTGATAGAGCATGGCGTTTGCAACGCCAGGGTTGTGGGTTCGATTCCCACGGGGGGCCAGTATAAAAAATATATATATGTATTCACTAACTGTAAGTCGTTCTGGATAAGAGCGTCTGCTAAATGACTAAAATGTATAGGATCTCTATGCTTAAATCCCCCCTCCAACCCTCCCCCGATCTTACTCCCTTAGTTATGTTCTTGATTAAATCCCAAGGTCTTTATTATAATTCCTGCAGCATGTATCTCTAATAGCTGGTCTGCTCTCATGACGACATGGCTGCATCCAAAATGGCCCCCTATTCCCTATATAGTGCACTACTCATAGGACTCTGGTCAAAATCAGTGCAGTATGTAGTGAGTTAGCAGCATGCCATTTGGGACGCTGCCGTATTTAAATGTCAATCAGGCACTATGCAGATCACTGAAGCCGTAATTACACCCAATTAGTTAACAGCGTTATGCAGTAATTAGCAGAGTGACAAATTAATTTCATGACTCAACACAATCTAAAACTAAAATGTTAACTGTAGAATTAGATGTGTATTTCTCTCATAGAAAGAGTTATAGGCTGTAATGCTCATCTATGTGTATTGGGATGTAATCAGCATCATGTCTTCTAGTGACAGGGAAGGGTGCTAACTAGTGACAGGGAAGGGTGCTAACTAGTGACAGGGAAGGGTACTAACTACTGACAGGGAAGGGTGCTAACTAGTGACAGGGAAGGGTGCTAACTAGTGACAGGGAAGGGTGCTAACTAGTGACAGGGAAGGGTACTAACTAGTGACAGGGAAGGGTGCTAACTAGTGACAGGGAAGGGTACTAACTAGT